TGAGGAGCGAAGGAGAGGTCTGCTGCAGTGAAGTTAGGATTTGTACCAGCTACTGGGCCTCAGTCTTCCCATCTTGTTCAAGCTGGTGCTTATATTATGAAAGAAAGTCCCAGAAACTCAGTTCTCACCGACACAGTAAAGAATTACAGATTAGCAAGTCTACTAATGTGCAAGCCAAGTTTATTAGTGCTAAGTTCTAATGGGAAAGTAAAAGCAAGTGTGGCTAGAGCAAGAGTGGCAAAAGCAGGGTGGCCACAGGCCAGTTGGCCAGGGGGCCCCAGTGTGGCAAAAAGAACCAAGAGGACCAAGAGAACAAGTCTTTCACTCTGAGGATGTATATAGTTGGCAGGGTCAGGATGAAGAAGTTATATATTGATTGATGAGTAAAGGTGGTGCCAGTTTCCCTCCTGGAGACGGGAGATGTGACTACCCACATGTAGGTATGTCTCTCTCCTGACTGGTGAGGATTGGTTAGCCTGAATCCTTGACTTGCTCCAGATTTTATTTGTTCATTTTGCATATGTGACAGGAGGTAGGCAGATAACCAAAGATGTTTCATGGTTTTTCCCCCCTTTGGGCACTGTAGTCTTCCTCTCCTTCGCCCTTCCAGGCCTTGGGATGAATACACAGTTTCAAGGTTTTCCTTTTCCCAGCTAGTGGAGATGATATACCCACACCTTCAAGGGCTTCTCCCTGCACTATTATAGTTTCCATGTGTTGTTCAGGATACTTGGCAGCCTTATTGGGCCAGGTTCAGGATTACTGGGTCAACAGGTGAGTCTTTGCTTTTAGGCTTGTGTATTAAAGTTCTTCGTTAGATTGCAATGGCGAGGGTTTTGCCTTTATTTCCCCTCTGGTCTCTCATTCTACTGTAACACTTATAAATGCAGAGGAGACCTTCAGAAGAAGGATTCTAAAATACCGTGGGGCCTTATGACAAAGTACACTAATGTCCAAGCCCAAAACAAGATAAAAACACCTGCATTCTTGCCAAATTTCTTGTCCGTACTATTTGCCCACATTTATTTAAAAATTGATTATTTAAATCTTTGAATTAGAAATAAAGTTTTTCAAAGTATAACTTACATACAATAAAATTCACCCTTTTAAGATGTATAGTCCAGTTAAATTTGGGTGAATTTACACAGTATGTAACAGCCCTCGCCAGCGTGCCAAAAAGCTCCCTTACACTCCTTTTTGGTCAATCCTCATCCCGCAATCTACCCCAAGCCTCTGGCATCCACTTGATTTTCTGCGAGTATAGTTTGCCTTTTCTAAAATGTCATGTGCAGGCCCTGGCTGGTGCGGCTCTCAGTTGGTTGGAGTGTGGTCCCTAAAATGTCATCTACAAAGACTCACACAGTCTTAAGAAAATTCACTTCTACCTATCTTTATTTTTTTTAATGTTTATTATTTAAAAATTTTTATGAATCTTATAGTCTTTTATAACTTAGATTTTTTTTTGAAATTTTCCGGTTTTAATTCCAATAACCTAGAAGACTCGGGTAAAAGCCTGCTCATAATCATATAATTCCAGAATCAGTAATTATTGCCAGAAACTACTACCATGGTGAGGGGAAAGGAATAAATAAAAGATAATCTATGCTGACAAATAGGCAGGTTTAATGATACATTGCTCTTCATACAGGTGGCTGCAGAGACTTTAAACCATAACCCAGGGGTATACACAGGCCAGTCAGCCAGGCCAAAAATAAAGTGGCTTCTCATAGCCAACCTGTAAACATCACAGCTCTTTTTCTATCCAAATGACCCTAATCTCACATGAAAATAGTTAATGCAGGGGAATTAGAAACCTAGCTTTGTGGTCAAAAGTAAAAACCAGAGGAAAAATAGCAATTCAGTGGTCAGTTGGTGAAAACAGGGAATCGTACTTGTCACTGTGCTGCTTTGCTCTTCTTACTCTTGCTCTTTTTGTCCCTCTTCTTCGGCCCATCCATGTTAGCTCTCAAGAGGTTTGAATAAGCCATCTGAAACTTATTCACTTCTTTGGAGCTCACCACTGTGCTGATCTTCTTTTTCCCATCAGTAGCTCTTAACAGACACTTGTTGTCTGAGGGCTCAAAGCCCTCCACAGAACCTTTCCTCGGAATGGGTTTAGTTCGGCCGTCATACTTCTTCAGGGTGATGAACACACTGCCCGACAACCGGCACTTCTGGAAGAGCCTGGTCAGCTCGTCAGGAACTGTTTACTCTCCAGCAAAACCATCCCGACGCCGCCGACCCCACCCTGTCACCGTACGACCCCAATAACTTAGATTTTTAATGTAGGGGTGTGTGTGTGTGTGTGTGTGTGTGTAGAAGACATAAATTGGTGTGATAAAAAACTTTAAAAAACCTCCAAAGGGAAAACATTTATTCATCTTTTCAACTCTGATTGCTTCTCTAGAAGCAACCACCGTCTCGTTTTTGTATGTCCTTTCAAAAATGTAGGCGTATATAAATCTAATACACATAAATTTCACACACATACATAGTTGTGAACTTACATAAACCTAGATAATATAGTCTACTACACACCTATGCTATATATGTGGCCTATTGCTCCTAGTCTACAAGCCTGTATTGCATGTTACTGTACAAAACAACACAAGATTAAATCAAGCACAAGAAAAAATGATACAAGAGACATGGTAAACACAAGATATATGGTGCTGTTGGTATAACATGGCATACTGCTTTATAACAAAGTTTTTAAAAATAATTTTTCTTTAGATTGTATTTATTTATTTATTAGAGATTTTATTCATTTATTTTTAGATGGAGGGGAAATTGGGGAGAAAGAGGGAGAGAAACATCAATGTGTAGTTGCACTCATGTGCCTTCTACTGGGGATCAGGCCCGCAACCCAGGCATGTGCCCTGACTGGGAATCAAACCAGCAACCTTTTGGTTCACAGGCTGGCACTCAATCCACTGAGCCATATCAGCTAGGCTATTTATTTATTTTTAGAGAGAGGGGAAAGGAAGGAGAAAGAGAGGGAGAGAAACATTGATGAGAGAGAGAAACGTCAATCAGTTGCCTCCTCCATGCCCTCAACCAGGGACCTGGCCTGCAACCCAGGCATGTACCCTGACCAGGAATCAAACTGGTGACTTTTTGGTTCACAGGCCGTCACTCACTCCACTGAACCACACCAGCCAGGGCCAAACATTTTTTTTTAATAAATAGAAAGTGTATACTCTAAAGTAAGGATAAAAAGTATAGTATAGTGAATACATATACCAGTCTCATAGACACTTATTACCATTTTCAAGTATTATGCACTATACATAATTGTATGCGCTATACTTTTATACAACTGGCAGTACATTAGATTTGTTTATACCAGCATCACCAAAAACACATTAACACCTTGTGCTATATGACATTATGACAGCTACAACATCACTAGGCAATAAGAATGTTTCATCTCACCCTGGTTGGTGTGGTTCAGTGGATTGAGCACCAGCCTGCAAAACAAAGGGTTGCTGGTTCAATTTCCAGTCAGGGCACATGCCTGGGTTGCAGGCCAGGTCCCCAGTAGCGGGGGACATGAGAGCCAACCACACATTGATGTCTCTCTCCCTCTCCTTCTCCCACCCTTCCCCTCTGTCTAAAAATAAACAAATAAAATCTTTAAAAGAAATAAATTTCATCTCCATTAGTCTTATGGGACCACCATGACATGCAGTCTGTATCTGGCCAAAATGTCATCATGAATCACATGACTGTATATATACTGTATATGCATATTCAAATCACACTGCCCTTCAATTTTCCTTTTTGACTTAATATTTTCTGGAGATTGATTAATATCAGCATAGATAGACCTATACATTCATTAATGGCTGGATCGTATGGGTGTGCTACAATTCACCTACCCATCCCCCTGTTGATAGATTTAGGATAATTTGAAGTCTTTTACTAATGTAAACAATGAATTAAGTTATAGTGCTCTTAGTAAATAAATAAAACAATGCACAAGTTGCATGTAACTTTTCCGTAACTGTAATTATAGGACAAAATACATTTTGGTCTCCGCCCCCACCCCCACTTAACTCATCTGTTGTTCCCTCCATCACCTGGTGAATTTGTGTAAATTCTTCACAGCCTGTCAATCACGACCCATGCTTGGACAGCTGTTCTGACTTCGCCTGCCTCCTCACTCTTCTTACAATCTGCACAGGGTTTAGCAAGGTGTGTTGTGATGCTGTGATCTGAACTGTGATCATGTGTCCACTTGGTTGAACTTTCGTGGGTAGTGCCTGGGTCTTGCTGATCTGTGTTTCCAGCGTACCCATGCCAAGGCCTGAAATACAGTTAGCATTGAAAAACTGTTGAATGGGTGATATATTAGATTCATTTCCCCTATAGAGCTAATTACCGGACAATTTATGTTACCAGTTTTGAGATTCGTTTTGTTTTTGCTGTGATAAATAATGCTTTAATGAATCTCTTTCTGCCTCTGAACTTTTTCTGGTTTCGGATTATGCAGCAGGCTGTTCTTCCAAGCAGGTTTGCTGGTCGAAAGGGTGTGGATTTCACCACCCTCCCCTCCCAAATTGCCTTACAATATTGTGCATAAGAGTGGCTTTTTGAAGTCAGAAGTCTTCTAAGAATTGGAATGGTTATCAGAAAACCTTCACCTTAGGCCTCAGTTTTGTATATAAATCTAATTCTAATTGATAACAAAAGCAGCAGAGTTTAGAAAGCCCTTTGTCAATTCACGTTAGCATGCGGCCCCACTACAACTCTCAGACGTGAGTTACCAATCACACCCTGATACAGCGTCTCCAACTCTGAGAAATTCCGCCTCCGCTCGGGCCTTAGGTTCCCTATAAGTACAGGCGGGATTCTACTCACTTCCTTCCAGGGCAAAGGCAGAGTTCCGGCTTCTCAAAGCCCTAAAGCCTCGCCGTCTTGCTATTCCGATTGACGGTCAATCTGACCAATCAGCGTGCTGCGGACGATCGTGGGTGGGGGGGAGGTGGGGGGAGGTCTGCTCTCTGAATACATGCGCACTAACCTCACACGGGAGATGTGTCGCTACCGTGTTTTGGACCACCTCTGGGCTGGCTGGTGGCGGGGGTCCGCAGTCTGCGCAGCTCGTAGGGTCGGAGGCTTTGGCGCCGAGGCCCGGTGATTGCACCCGCCCCCAACTTCTTGTGAGAGGGAGGGTGGGGCTGGGGGAAGGTGTGTACAAGATCTGAAATTAGGATGCGGGTGTTAATGCCGGTTCCGCTGTGTGATGGCACATTAGTCTCCAGGCCTCGCTGATCCTCAGTTTTGTACTGTGTAGAACGGGGCCAGTCGAACCACAGTTTTCAGGGACCTCAAGCCAGGCATTCTGAGGCATTTGTTAGGGTTTGGGAAGAGGTGTGAGGAGATAAGAATGGGCAGCACCTCGGGAAACGAATCATTACCCTCTTCCTTACCCCACCTTTCCAGGCATCAGTCGCATCCTCGAGGCTCCAGCAAACGGTCGAGGTCCCTGGGAAACCAGCCCTTCCCAGGGCTGCTGCAGCCAGAGAACCTCAGTCGGGAGGAGCTGATTGATGTGTTGAGGGCATCTGTGGTGGACCAGAAAGGTGAGGGTGACAAGGAGAGCTGCACAGGGACCTGGTAGGGGAGCCTGCTGCTGCTCTAAGCCTTCTCGGGAGCTGACTGGGCCCCCTACTAAAAAAGCCTTTGGGGTCAAATCCTGGTCTGCCTCCTACCAGAGGCATGAGCAGGGAAGAGCCACATAATCTCTCCTAGTCTCAGCATTATGAGGATGGGGTGTGCAGTGAGAGAGTGTGAAGAACTAGAGTCTTGAACACAGTAGGCACTTTAGAATGGAAATTGCTTATGGACAAAACATAGGCTTTGGAGTCAGTCTATAATCAGTCTGCTGTGTGGCATTAGGAAAAATAACAATTTGAGCATCAGTCTTCATTAAGCGATTTAATAATTTTCTCAACTACTTATTGAGCATAGGCTATGTTCCAGGCACTGTTCTAGGCACAGCTATGCAAGATAAATATTTTCCTGCTCTCAGGGAGCCAACATTTTGTGGGAGAATGTTGGGATTAAACCCCAAATAAATGAACAAGGTACTAGCTAGTGATCAGTGCTATGATAAAAGTGTTGTAACAGTGACGAATTAGGAGCATGGGCAGACATTAGGTTGCACAATTAGTTCTCTCTGGTGGTGACATTTTAGCCAAGGTGATACAAAAGAGACAGACATGTGAAAATCTGGGACAGAGGAAACAATAAATGCAAAGGTCTGAGGTGTTAGTAAGCTTAGTATACGTGAGGGACAGGAAGTTCAGTTCAGGGTGTGGTTGATAACTCATGTCTGAGAGTTGTAGTGGTGCTGCATGGTAACATGATTTGAGAAAGTGCTTTGTAAACTCTAACTGCTGATTCTGTTGTCAGTGATGTTCCTGTCGTGTATGTTTCAGGGCCACTAGTGACACTGAACAAGCCACAGGGTCTTCCAGTGACAGGTATGGGCAGGGGAAGGAGATGCACTGAAACGGAGTTTGACATCTCTGAGGGAGGGAATAATGAAGAGAAGAGGGTGGTGGGATGAAGTTGCCTCTGGGAGCAACTTGTAATTTTCTGTCTTTTTTCCCAGGAAAACCAGGAGAGCTGACATTGCTCTCCGTGCTGCCAGAGCTGAGCCAATCCCTGGGCCTTGGGGAGCAGGAGCTCCAGGTTGTCCAAGCATCTGGGAAGTAAGTGGTGGGAATGATAGGGAGGTAGGAGGACAGGCATCCATCAAAAGTTTGGGAACATGTTGCTTGGAAATAAGCCGAGACATTTCCATGGCCAGTTTGGGATCATAGAGGTAGAATACAAGGTACAGGAGTGGGCAGGCAGACCTGGGTTCAAATCCTTGTGCACAAACTGTGATCTTAGGCAAAGCATGAAACCTCACTGACCCTCAGCTTCCCTAATCATGAGATAGACCTGATTATACCAATGCTCAGTATGCAGTCACTTTTCCCAGCCCATACTGGTGGCAGAACTGGTGGCAGGCATTGGGAGCTGATCATGGATATCAGCTTTCCTCTAACTGCCATCAATTAGAGGTGGTGCTTGAGAAGAAATATTTTTGCAATTTCACAAACTCTTGGGCTTGTTTGTGGGGAATTTAATTCTTTCAGAGCTAATATATATATATAATTCCTAGTACCGTGCGTGTACATGGTAGACACGCAGGATTCGGTGGTGATTGTTATGGCATTTGACTCTGAGCTCCCTCGGGGCTGGGGCGGAACAAGAGACACAGTGAGCTACAGAGCCTGATTATCAAACATGAGGGAGCCTTGTTTCTCAGGAGGTCCGGGCTATAGTTTGACATTACTCTTTGGCCTTAAGCGTCAGTGTTCCTCACTTTTTTGTGAGTGAGCCCAAGGGACTTTAACTTTGGTGATTTTTTTCTCTTCCTCCAGGGAGACCTCTGGGCTTGTACTCCTCTCCAGTTGTCCTCAGACAGCAAGCCGCCTCCAGAAGTTCTTTGCCCATTCACGAAGAGCCCAGAGACCTACAGCCACCTACTGGTAGGAGGTGCTGGCAGGCTCCCATTGCAGTGGGGAGGTCTTGGCAGGCCGCTGTGTAACCTCTTGCTTCTTTCTCAGGGCTGTCACTGATGGGATCCCAGCTACTTCTGAGGGGAAGGTCCAAGCAGCTCTGAAACTGGATCATGTTGATGGCGTTGATCTTGTGAGTCAGGGTCTGGGTGGGGAACAGAGGGGACTCTCCAGACATATTACTCTTATAGAGAAGTTAAGGCTATAGACTTGGGGTGTGGGTAGCTGGCTGTCCTGTCCCCTAAAATAAGCAAGTGACCACTGCTTATACTGCCTGTCCTAAGTCTATTGGGCACAGGGAGGGGTCTGGGTATAGCTCCCGGGTGTGTGTGAAGCTTCTTCATCCTTGGGGGCTGATACCACAGGTAGTTCCAGTGAAGTCTCCATCCCGAAAGCACATCCTGGAAGGTGTCAAGAGGACCCTAAGCTACTTTCGCGTGGTGGCCACAGGTTCTGGCTGTGCCTTGGTCCAGCTGCAACCACTAACAGGTGGGTCATAGTGGGTCTAGAGACCCAGCCAGACTTTAGGACTATTTGGCTGGGAAGGCAAGGGGTTGGGCGGGGGGAGGTGGTGGTGTTAGGAGCAGCCTGGGAGCATTTGATGGACCCCCAGAGTAGAGTGTATGTGACCAGGCCCAGCTGGAGGAGGCAGCACTTCTGTCAGTCTAACGGTCATTCCTTTGTAGTTCATCTACTTTTTCTCTTAGTTATTGATCTCGGGGTCCTCTCTTTGTCTTCGGTGGTCTGTAGTTTCCCTGTGACAGAACTAGGTGTCGAGGGGTAGGTTGTTTTTTTTAAATTATTATTTAATTTTATTTTATTTTAGAGAGAGAGGAAGGGAGGGATAAAGAGAGGAGAGAAACATCGATATGCAAAGGAAACATTGATCAGTTGTCTCTCACATGCTCTCAACAGGGGACCTGGCCTGCAACCTAAGCATGTGCCCTGACCAAGAATCGAACCAGCAATCTTTTGGTTTGTGGGATGATGCCCAACCCACAGAGCCACACTAGTCAGGGCTGTGTTTTTTTAAAGATTTTTTTAGAGAGAAGGGAAGAGAGGGAGAAAGAAACATTAATTGTTGTTCAAGTACAGTTTTCTGTCTTTTTACTCCCATCCCAGCCCACCCCCCGCAGTGCTCCCCACCAAAATATGACATGTTTTTTCCACCATACTATTTGTTCCTTTTTGTCTGTAATCATTTAAAACAATTGTATTTCTATAATTCCATTGTCTGAAATCCTTGAGGGTCTAATCCTATTGTGTGTGCTTCGGACTCTCATGCTTGGTGGGTTGTTTCTTTACTGCTCTATGATTCAGGATTGTGGATTCAGGTTCAGCTGGGCCTTCATCTGTGGAAATCCTTGTCCTCATTTGAGGTGGGACCTTTGGGAGAGGTCGCGCCTTTGCTTCTGCCGAATGCGTTAGGGCTCTCACTACTTCAGGACCTCCCTGAGTATTAGAGTCTCCATTGGAAGTTCACAGAGCATTCAAGAAGTATTAGGCCCCCAAACCTGTGTGGGAGCAGGCTCGTTGCCATGAATTCTCAGGGGACACTTGTTCATTCCCCTTAGGGCTTCTCTGGCGGCTGGCTTGTTCTCCTGGCCCACCCTTTCCCTGAGGGTGTAGCCCATCTAGGGTTTCATTTAGGCAGCAAGACCCCATCCCTGGCTGCCAGGGTAGCTACTTAAACCCAGTCCCCCTTGGTGTCAAGGTTGGCAGCACCCCTGAAATAGGTGAAATGTTGGCTCTTATATGTTCTGAATTTTTCCTTTCTGTGTTTTGGTCTCGGAGACCTTATTTCTTGTATGCCCATTGTGTATTTAAAAGTATGGCTGTTATATTTCCCCAGTGTTTCTAGGTGGTTTATTATAGCAAGAGGGTTTTTAGATTATTACCAGACGTGGAAGCAGAGTACAGCTCCTGGGTTTAAATCCGTTTATGTGGTAGGCAGGTCGCTTCTTTCTGAGCTTTGTTTTTCCACAGTGATGATAGGCCGCGCCTTACAGGGTTGTCGCGACTGCTAAATAACCTTACATGTGCAAAACATTCTATGCCATGTCTGGTATATACTGCCCCCATTTCTGTGTTGGTCAAGGTACTTTTGATTGTAAGTCTTCCAAAAGCTAGTTCAAATTGGTATAAGCCAAAAAAAAGAAAAGAAACTTCCTGGCTCACATAATTTGGCTGGACCAGGGGCTCAGGGATGCCATCAGGAACTGTTTCTCCACGTTTTCTTTCCTCCTGTATGTCGGCTGCTTTCTCCCACAGGCACTCCCCTGGTGAAGCAGATGGCCAGGGGCTCCAGCAGCTTGGGCTTACACCACCAGTTTAGCACCCCAGTGAGAAAGAGCAGCCTTTGTTCCCAGTAGCTTCAACCATAAATTCAGGGTTGCCTCTCTTCCTGGGTGGACCCACAGGCCCAGGTGGGTTGATAGCTATGACTATCCCCACCTGCTCTGGAGGCCGGGGCAGTAGCATTGGCCTCACTAAAACCACCTGATCTGAGAATGGGGGGTGGTGTTTGCCCACAGGAAATGGGGAGGGAGGATACTGGGTCAGACGGAGAGAGCGTTGTTCACCATCTGTCCTGTCTCGCCTGTCTCCCAGTGTTCCCCAGTCAGCTACAGCTACACATGGTGCTGCAGCTCTGCCCTGTGCTTGGGGACCACAGGTATTCTGCCCGCGTGGGCACTGTCCTGGGCCAGCGCTTTCTACTGCCAGCTGAGAGCACCAAACCCCAAAGACAGGTACCCAAGGTCTTCTGCCCTCCGCCTTCTGGGGGTGGGCCGGGGGAACGAGGTTGGGCAGCATCTCTAGACATTACCTGTGCAGCTTGGGACTGGGAGGCTGTCTGTAATCCTGTTTTGCTCTATGGCCCTGAGCAGGTGACACCCCTGTCTTGCATCTCATTCTGCCCATCTGTTCAATAAGGGAGTTGAACTAGCTGGTTTCTAAAGCTGCCATACTTTGAGTCTCTTTGGTATAAGGGGTAAGAGAGGTTGCCTGTACAAGGGTAACTGTCAGCTCTAACAGAGTAGCCCCAAAGTACTAGAGTCTGAACACATTGGTTTTCCTCCCTTTTAAGTCCGATTAATGGGGGTGGGATACAGGTGGGCTTTGCTCCAAGCAGTCACCGAGGGACCCAGGCTGTTGCTATCTAGATGGCAGATAACTGGGGACAGTATGGTTCATGTGGGAGATTTCCATGGGCCAGGTCTGAAGGCGGCATATGTATGTACACTCCCATTCTGTTGGCTGGAACGCAATCACGTCCTCACCAAACGGCAGGAGGGGCAGGGAAACATAGTTTAGCTGTATGCCTAGGTAGAAACTGATTTGGTGAACCCCTAGCCAATGTCTGCCATATTGAGTGTGTTTTGAATGTGTACATGTGTCTGTGTAAAAAGGAAGTTAATAACTACCAACATGGAGGGAAGGAGGAAGTACTTGCTTCACTCCCATTTTGCTTAGAGCTGTATGGAACTGACCTGGCTGAATGCTGACACGCCTCTCCCACCCCAGGTCCTGGATGAAGCCCTCCTCAGACACCTCTGCCTGACGCCCTCCCAGGCGGCCCAGCTGCCCTTGCACCTCCACCTACATCGTCTCCACCTCCCAGGCCCCAGGCCCAGGGATGCCCCCATAGAGCTTTTGGCACCCTTGCCCCCTTATTTCTCCAGGACTCTGCAGTGCCTGGGGCTCCACCAGCGATAGTCCACCTTCTGTTCCTACTGGAAAGTGGTGAGTGTGAGGAGGCCGCAGCCCGAGGAGAATGAGTTCAGTGCTCACCGTGTAGTGAGGTCATGGTTTAAGACCCTGGGCCGTGTAGTCAGACTAACCCTAGGTCAAATCCTGGCTAGGCCACTTGCCGTGTGGTGTTGGACAAATAACCTCACTTCTCTGGACTTGAGAAAATAAACGTACCTAACTTAATAAACGTACATGACTATGGTTTTGAAGATTTGCTGAGAAAGTAAATGTTTATCATGGACAATACTTTCTGCTGAGATCAATGTGTGGCCTTTTATTGGGCTGTTTCTGTCCTAATTCTAGCTGGGAAGAAATGTCAGATTTTTTCATTGTGATAAAATACACCTACCAAGATTTACTCTATTAACCATTGTTAAGTGTACAGTCCAATGGCATTAAGTGCATTCACAGTGTTTTGCCACCCTTGCCATCACCTGCCTCCAGAACTCATTTTCCAGAACTGAAATTCTGTCCCCATTCAACACTAAAGCCTCATTCCCCCTCCCAGACCCTAGTAACCACCATTCTCCTTTGTCTCTGTGAATTTGACTACTCTGGGGAAGTGTATGTCAGTGAAGATGGTGAGATTTTTTTTTCTTTAAAAAATTGTGAAATATATTAAAACATACAGAGTGCATAAAACATCTCTGTGATTTAAATAATAATCATAAGGTAACACCCAAGTATCCATCACTCAGGGTATGAAGTAGAAACACCTCTTGTAGAACAGCAGTTCTGCATCAGAAACGTCCCTGCATAGCCCCTCTGGAAGCTTTAGAAAATCTCCATGATTAAACGCCCCAGAGATACCGGTTTGATTGGCCTGGGGTTGAGACCCGTGGCATCAGTCTTTCTTAAAAGCTCCCTGAGATGTTCTGTCTAGGTTGGAACCACTGCCCTAATGGAAGAATTCTTTTTTCTCTTCTTTTTAAGTCTGACCACATATGTACGCATCCTTACATGATATATCTCATTATGCCTGTTCCCCAAGTTTCTGTAAATGGATTCATGCTGTATATATTCTTTTGTGATGTATTCTCACTCCACACTGAGAAATGCATGTGTCCTATGGCATGGAATTTGAACCCCAGCGCTTGAGTACACCAGTGTATTCATTCCGTTACCGGACAGTTAGGTTTTTCAGCTCGTACAGCACTGCTGCTGTGAACCTGCTTGTATTTCCTGGTTGCTATGCAAGAATTTCTGGATCAGAGTAAATGTAGCTTCATGTGCTTAGTGTATTTCCTATGGCTGCCATAGCAAGTTACTACAACCTAAGTGACTTAAAACAACAGTTGATTCTCTCGTGGTTCTGGAGGCCAGAAGTCTGTCTCAAGGTGTTGACAAGGCTGTGCCCTCGAAGGCCCCAGGGGAGAGCCCTTCCTGGCTTCTCTCAGCCTTTGGTAGCTCCGAGGTTCCTTGGCTTGGGTCCCCACCACACCAGTTTTGGCCTCCGTCTTCACATGGCCTTCTTGTGTTTGTCTTCTTGTCTAAGGGTCCTTGTCACTGGATTTAGGACCCACATGGAAAATCCAGGATTGTCCCATCTCCATATCTTTACATTTGGTACAAAGACCCTTTGGCCAAATAAAGTCATATGAACAGGTTCTAGGTAGACATCTTTAGAAAGGGGTGTACCATTCGACCCGTAGCTAAGGAATGCCTGACTTTTCAGATGAGTATGGTTTGTTGGATATTTTCTTTTAGGTGACCTTCAGCACTTGCTGAGGAAGGGACAGACCCACTCCCTCTGGAGAAGGGCTGGGGTTCAGGCAAGGTCCACCCTTCCCCCTATGTCTCATGTTATAAATCTGGTGCCCCTCGGACATCAGCCCAGCTCCTCCTCTGGTCTTAGGAATTTGGGGGACTCCCAGTGGTCAGCTACTGTGGCTGTGTACCCCAGACTTCAGCCCACTGCCCCATGCATGATCTTGGGCAAGCCATGCTGCCTCATTCAGTTTCCTCTTCTGTAAAGTAAGACTGAAGCCCCTACCTAAAGATCAGAGAGCTTTCCTAACAGGAAGTCCCATGTCTGCCACTGTGTGGGAATTCTGAGCCTTGCTTCCTGGAGGAGTTGCTGATGGCCTCTAACTCCTGTTCTAGATTTTGGGGTACAGAGCCCCACTCTACACTCTCTTCACCCTCTGATAGAAACAAAGCCAAGCCAAGAACACTTTATTTGCTCCTTTTTATTTGGTGCTGCACCCAGGGTGGGGGCAGTGAGGCCTGAAGCAAGGGCTTGTTTAGCCTCACATCCTGCATTCCCCGCAACCCCTGGTGTGCAGTGATTAGAGGCAGGGGTCCTGGAAGGCTCAGTGTCTTCAGGAGGCATGCTTCAGCCTTGGGTCTGTCACAGAGTCTGGCCTTGAACTCTCTTTTGACCTTGATCTTCCTATGTGTACTAGGAAGATTTCTAACTTCAGCAGGTAAAGACCACAAAGCACTTCCAGGATGGGGACCACAAAGGCGCTTGGGAACAACAGCAGCCTTGGTGTAAAAGGAGGGGAGAAGGGGAGAGGTGATCAATAATTTGTCTAGGAAGGGAATTCTGAGGGAAGCAAGCCCTCCCCTTGGGGCTCCAGCCAGCCCGGGAGCTGCCCTCTGCCTGTGCCCTCCAGCCCTGACCCCGGCACTCATCATTGCCCTCCTGGGTGCGAGTCATAGTTTGAGGCCCACCTTTCTTGGTTTCAGGATGATGGGTGCCCACTTGAGCTCAGGTTTAGGTGTGAAGGAAATCAAAACCTTGGCGGTAGGTAGAATCATCAAGGCCTTGCCCGTGCTCAACAGGGCCTTGGAGCCCACCAGCTTGCTGTGCTGCCGTCCGAGGACTGGCCCCTGGGGTCGGAGCCCATGGAGAGAAGGCAGCCGGGCCTTGGTGTAGAGGCTGGGGAAGTGGTAAGGGGCTGTGGGAGCAAGAGGTGCGGTGAAAGCCCAGGGTGGTGGGAGGCGGGGCTCAAGGCTGACTAAGCTACCCCTCCAGGTGCATGTGCAGGGCAAGAGGTGGCAGAATGTGAAGGCAGATGGAGCCCTCCCAGTTCCTCCTCCAGAGGCCATGGGTAGGACGCAAGAGTTGGAGTCCAACAGACCTGGGTCTGCATCCCATCTCTGCCCCTTTTGAGATACGCAACTTTGAGCAACTTTCTTAAACTTCCTGATTCCTTGACTGGAAAATGGGGATAATAGCACCTACCTCATTAGGCTGTAAGGACTAAAGGAGCTGGTTATATAGCAAAACAGTGTAAGCTGTTAAGGGCTGAGTACATGTTAGTTCTTTTCCTTCAGAGGCAACTGTGCAGGGAGGCAAAGGCAGAACACTGTGGCAGGAAAAACTTGGGCTCTGGGAAGAGAGCCACCAGGGAGTGAGTCCTGGCATTGTGGAAATAACTGTCTTGCAGGGTGACTCCTTTGGAAGGGACAATACTTGGTTGTGTGTTTTTTAAAAAATACTTTGTAAGTGGTGACTTTTACTTGCTACTGGTAGTTCTTTGGTGGGGCTGTGGGTAGTGGGAAAATTCAGGTAGTTAGGAGAGGCTTGAAGAGCAGGGAGAAATTGCCTTGGGGTCCTGGGGTGTTTTGGCAGAGTGGTCTTAGCCAGGGCCTGGGGGTTCTTCAGACTCAGTGGCAATCTGTTCAAGGGGTGGGCCTGCCTATTATCACTAACAAAGGTCTTGGTGAAAATGCAGCCCATCCTTGGGTTGGGTGAGTCCCACTTCTGGATACTGGAGTGGACCAGGACTGTAGAACTTTTTGCCTTGCCTTTCTTCCCCTTTTCAGTGGTCGATGTGGTGGCAGTGAAGTCTGGCTTCTCGGAGTGCTCCAGGCTCCTGTCCCCAGGAACTTTCCTAGGAGCTGACATGTGGATAAAGATCCCCGAGTCCTTGCCTTCCCCAGAGTCTCGCTGGGTCAGCAATTGAGGAAGCGCTGTGCGGAGCCCGGTCCGCCGGTGACATATCGCCAAGGGCTTCTTGATGGTGGAGCCCTCTACTAGAAGCTGGATACCCACATACTGGGGCACCTCCACAGCAGGCTGTGAGGAAGAAGAGGAGACAAGGCCTGCTCAGGCAGTGCTGCTAGAGCCCTAGGCCCAGAAGGACTCAGGGCAGAGATGCATGGAATTAGTTTCTGGGGCACCTAGTTAGGAGGCATTTCTGGGCTGAGAAATGGGAAGCCTACCTCTGTCCTCTAAGGAGTCTGGGCCTGGAGGCCTGAATCAGTCCCTAGAGAGTCACTGAGCCCTGGGATTAGTAACCCAGAGGAGTGTGGGAGTCTCAGCCATGCCTCCACTAGCACCTCTCCACCCTCTCGCCCCCCTAAGCTGCCCTGGCCCTTGTTGGAACATTTGTGGCTCTATTCCACAGGCCACTGCTGATGGAAAGCTTCCTCAGTGCAGCTGGATTCTCTACAGAGAGAATCTGAGTTATGACACCCAGACCGAGAATCTGCCTAGAGCCTCACAGGAACCCCAGTTACGGGGAAGCAGAAACTGAGAGCCTGAAAGAAGGCATTCTGTGGAGGGGGTGAAGTAGTGCATATGCAGAGGGAGGCAGAGAAATTGCTCCTGTGGAATTTCAGTTCTTATAAAGCCAAATGGTACTTCCTACAGCTGTGTTCCCAGAGAGCTCCCTGTGTCTCGCTAAGAACTTTAATCCAGAGCTAGTTTGAGGTGTTTTCTGTGTCATCAAAGGATCCTGATTAGAATCTATCTAATCAATCAGAACTGTCCTTTGGAGCTTGTGAAGAATCCAGATACCAGAGCTCCCGGAAAGCCGAGTTGATAAGGAAAAGCTCATCTTTGCAGAAGAATCTTAGCTAATAAATGTAGAAGGAAAGAGAATCAGAAACTTAGCACTTTGTAACTGATACAAAAAGCAAGAATTAAAACTGGATATCAAAACAAGTAGGTGAAAAGGATGACAGGAAAATGTGTCATTTGCACAGGGCCAAAGTATCACCTTCCAAAGTAACTGATCATTGCCAAGGGGAGGATACAGCTTACAATGGGGAGAGATCTGGTAGCCTCCACCTGAACTCCATGGTCAGACTTAGCTTAGCATCACTGATCCTGAGATGCTCTGACAGTGTTGTGCCTTGTGACTCTGTATGAGGTACCCAGCATCACCTCTCAACTTGTCTTGCCAAAAATGTTAAACTGAACCTCATCAAGGTTTTTCACCTAACTTCTAGTTTACAGAACATTCAGATAACAGAAGAACAGTTAAAAACCACCCCAAGGAAACAATCAGATAAATCCAGAATGTGGGACAGTTCTACAAAACAGCCTGACCCCTTCAAAAGATCCAAACTCTGGGTGGAAAAAAGCAGTGGGGCTGTTCTAGATTAAAAGAAATTAAAGAGCATTAAAAATAATACCTAGGAATAACTTTAACCAAGAATGTGAAAGACCAGTACACTGAAAACTGATGAAAGAAATTGAAGAGACAAACAAATGGAAAGATATTTTCTGTTCATGGATTAGAATAATTAATATTGTTAAAGTAACCATACTACCCAAAGCAATCTACAGATTCAATGCAATCCTAATCAAAATACCAATGGCATTTTTCACAGAAATAGAAAAAAATCTCAAAATTTGTATGGAACCCCAAAAGACCTAATTAGCCAAAACGATCTTGAGAAAGAAGAACAAAGCTGCAGGCATCATGCTTCCTGGCTTCAAACTATATTACAAAGCTATAGTAATCAAAACAGCATGTTACTGGCATAAAAATAGACACAGAGATCAACGGAACAGAACAGAAAGCCCAGAAATAACCCCACACGATTAATTTATGATAAAGGATATACAGGTACAAAAATGGGAAAGGACAGTATCTTCAATAAATGGTTTTGGGAAAACAGGACAGCCACAGGCAAAAGAATGAAACTGGGCCCCTAGCTTACACGCTACACAAAAATCAACTCAAAATGGATTAAAGACTTCAACGTAAGACCTGAAACCTAGAATTCTTAGAAGCTAAAATTCCTAGAATAAAACATATACTATGCTCCTTGACATTGGTCTTGGCAATGATTTTTTAGATTTGACACCAAAAGCAAAAGAAACAAAAGCAAAAACAAACAAGTGGGACTACATCAAACCAAAAAGCTCCTGCACAGCAAATGAAAAGACCCAACTGAATGGGAGAAAATATTTGCAAATCATATATCTGGTAAGAAGTTAATATTGAATAGATATAAAGAACTCATACAACTCATTGGCAAAAAATACAATCTGATTATGAAATGGGGTGAGGACCTACAGATATTTCTCCAAAAAAGACCTATAGATGGCCAACAGGTACATGAAAAGGTGCTCAACATCACTAATTATCAGGGAAATGCAAATTAAAACCACAAGGAGTCATCACCTCACACCTGTCTTTTTGATTGTTATCAAAAAGACAACAAGTATTGGTGAGGATGTGTACAAAAGGAAACCCTCGTGAACTGTTGGGAGTGTAAACTGGTGCAGTCACTGTGGAAAACAGTATGAAGGTTCCTCAAAAAAATTAAAAATAGGACCACCACGTGATCCAGTAAATGTCATTTTTATGAGTATTTGTTCAAAGGAAGCAAAAATGCTAACCAAAAATATGCACCCTCATGTTCATGGCAGCATTATTTACAAAAGCAAAACATGGAAACAACCTTAGTGTCCATCAACAGATAAGTGGATAAAAAATGTGATGTATATATATGTATACATATATATGTATATGTATACATATATATACACCTTCAGTCACAAGAAGAAGGAAATCTTACCATTTGCAACAACATGAATGGACCTTGAGGGCCTATACAAGTAAAATAAATCAGAGAAAGACAAATACCATATGATCTCACTTATATGTAGAATCTTAAAATCAAACAAAACAATTGAACTCATACATACAGAGAAAAGAGAGATGGGAGGATGAGGGGTGAATAAAATGTATGAAGGTGGTCAAAATGTTTTAACTTCCAGTTATAAAACAAGTCTGGGGAATTTAATGCACAGCTTGGTGACTATAGTTAATAATACCATGTTGTATAGTTCAAAGTTGCTAAGAGAATAGATCCTAAAAGCTCTTATCACAAGAAAAAGAATTTGATAACTACATGTGGTGATGGATATTAACTGGACTTGGTGTCATGACCATTTCACAATGTACACAGATACCCAATCACTGTACTGTAAACCCAAAATTAACATAATGTTATTTGTCAATTACATCTTGGTTTTTAAAAACCACAACGAATTTCAGAGGGATGTAAGTCATGCCTGATGGGCCCATTAAAATTGCTACAAATCTTTGAAGCATCTCAAGGGCATACATTTAGATCTTATGTTTCAGTCTAATACATTTTGAGTTCGCCTAGAGGTCTGCTAACATCAGGGCTTTTATGACTTTGAGGGCTGTTGTGCTATAGCAGTCTCACAAAAGACAGAGAAGCTCTTAGATTTGCAGACATGGCTTTTGTATAATAGACCAATTATAAAATTGATATGTAAGAAACACACAAGGCTTTTAAAAATATCAACTTGGACTAAAAGCGGCAGTTACAATATGAAGTGAAAGAGACTTGTGTACCCCCAAATTTTTATGAACAGGTAACAGACTAAGAACTATAGAGAATGTTCACAGGAAAGCAAAGATGATTCAGGGCCGAACTGAGATTCCAATGGATGGAAGCAAGAGCCATGGAGAACTCCTGAGAAGTAACAGTGGATCCTAATAGCAAAACTAGAAATATATGCTAAGACTGGATTTCAGAATTTCTGTGGAACAGGGATTCCTGTGGACTTCCCACCCAGGCTCTCCTTTTTGGGTGGGAATGTCTATAATAATAATAATAACAGTATCTTCCACTAACTGACTCATATATCCAGGCACTTTACAGTGATGCCATTTATCATGAAACACATAACAACCTTATTAATTAATAACAACAGCTAGAACCTCTGTAGCATTTAATATGTGCCAGGCACTGTTCTAATGTGCTTTTAACTCATTTAGTTGTCACAGCCTTATGAAGTAGACACTACTTTCATTCATGCTTTACAGATGAGGAAACTGAGACCCTTTTCCCCTTAGGGATTAGGAAGTTGTTCAAAGTCAAACAGCTTGTAGTTATTGAGCAGAGATTTTGAACCCAGGGAGGTTCAGGAATACTATGTTATATGCTTCTCCAGAAATACTACCCACACGAATTAATTCATTTCAACCTCCCAAACCCCATGAGAAAAATGGTAGGGGCATCTCTATTTTACAGATAAGGAAACAGCTATAACTAAGTTACGGAGGCCAGACCAGGACTTGAACTGGGTCTGTCCGACTGCAGTGCCTGTGCTTCGCTGTAGTGCAGTGGAGGGGGGAAGACTCCCTGGGGTCCTGTCTGGGCCCAGCCACCTCACCTGCTTGTAGATGAGCTCAAAGGCTCCCGTGTCATAGTTTCGGTCCAGCCGCCAGTCAATGACCACGCGCAGGGTGTCAGCTTGCACACCAGCACACAGGTGGGTGGTGACAGACGTGGAGGGTGCCATGGTGGGGCTGGCATTGATCTCAATCAGCCAGGGCTGGAAGTCTTCACCAAACACAAAGTCGGCGCCATAGAGCTCAAAGCTAGCCTTCCGACACTGCACAGTGTCCTGGGAGGTCTGCAAAGCATGGATCACTGCAGCCTTCATGCCAGGCACGATGACAGTGGACCAAGCATTTGGGGCCCCCATGTCCTGCAGGTAGAGCTGGAACTTCTGGCTGGACCACATGTTGTCTGAGGGCAGCAGCGGGTGCCGATGGCATGAATTCTCCAGATGCTTCTGGATGGAGTTGTTGCACAGGTGCACCGAGCTGGGGCAGAGAGCAGAGAGCTGAGGTCTGGGCCCCCTTGCCCCTCCCACCCAAACCTGGGGAGGGCAGGCAAACCCTGGACCCAGCCCTGGGCCACTGTGGACCATTCAACCTGAGATGGGGTCCTGCTGGGGAGGACAAGGACAGAGGCCTGGGGACCATAACATTCTTTCAGAACCAGAACCAGTCTTAGCTCTCAGGATCTCTTCTGAGGGCACTCACTGTGGGGAACATAGTATTAAGTGCTTTGGGCTCAGTGTCAGTTAACCCTCCCAGTGCCTGAAAGGTAGGAAGATGGGTGAGAGTATGGGCCCTACAGTCACTGAGACATGTGCTCAAGTCCCACCTTCACCACCAACTAGTTGTGAGATCTTAGGCAAGTCATTTAATCTGAGTGCTCCTTTTGCAGCTATAAAATGAAGGTACAGTACCCACTTCACTGGGTTTTCGTGAGTGACTAGTATGCATGATATGCTTAGCACCTGTCACATACCAAGCACTTGATTCGATAGTTGACAGCTATGAGTCTCCTATCACTGCTTCCATTCTTCAGATGTGGAAGCTGAAGTTAAGTAGGTTTTCGCTTGACAAAAGTTGCACAGCTCGAAAGCTGCAGAGGTGGAGTTTGGGCCCAGGACTCAGCAAGGCTTTCCTTCACCCCACAAGTTAGTCATACAACTTGCCTCTCTTCTCTAGAATTTCTCCTGAACCCCCTTTACCCTGCTCTACATTCTCTTTTTTAATGTCACTGTTTAGCCTATTATATGATTTTACTTATTATGTTCATTGCTTGTCTCTTTCTCCCTGCTTGACTGTGAACTTGTCAGAGCTGGGCTTTTGTTTTGTTCACTGCTGCATCCCAAGTGCCTAGAACAGAGAATGGCACAGGGTACACACTCAGTCATTATCTGACGGGTGGAGGGTGGTGGGATGGATGGTGGGCCTGCCTGCCTGCAGAGTCTGTGTTTGGAGCCCAGCAGCGCACTGGAATTGCCGGTCTTTGCCAGCTCCCCAACGAGAATGGGAGCTTATGGGAGGTAAGTGATGGGGCTCACTTGTCCAGGTTCTTCAGGGTGAAGGGCTGTGTGGAAAAGCGGATGTAGCTGTCTCGATAGAACCACACAGTAAGTGGGTTCCAGTCGGTCACCAGGAACCACTGTCTCAGGTCAAACTTGGTACCAAAGATGAGCAGAGGCCGCTCAATATATTTCTGTACCACCCACTTGCCATCCTTCATCATCATGGGGTTGCCATCCACTAGTTTCAGCATCTCCTCCAGGTGGTCCATGCACATGATGCCTAAGGAGGGAATGGGGTAATCAGGGACCATGGCAGGCTTGGGCTAGGAGACGGGTGGGGACCGTGGACGGCTCACCATAAGCTCTTATCCCCACAGAAATGATAGAGCCGAGTGGGCAAGGCTGCCTGCCTCAATCAGAATGCCATTGCCTTAGGCAAGTTGAAAATCTGCTAAGGATTTAAATTTTTAAAGATTTTTTATTTATTTATCTTTAGAGGGGAAGGGAAGGAGAGAGGGAGAGAAACATCAATGTATGGTTGCCTTTTGTGTGTCCCCTGCTGGGAACTGGCCTGCAGGGAACCAGCCTACAACCCAGGCATGTGCTCTGACTGGGAATCAAAGTGCGACTGTCTGGTTCGCAGGCCCACGCTCAATCCACTGAGCTACACCACCCAGGGCTTAAATTTTTTTTAATTAACCAATTTTGCCCTGGCTGATGTGGCTCAGTGGATTGAGCATGGCCCTGCAAACCAAAGGATCACAGTTCGATTCCCAGTCAGGGCACATGCCTGGGTTGCAGGTCAGTTCCCAGCAGGGGCCAGTTCCCAGCAGGGAACGCACAAGAGGCAACCATGCATTGATATTTCTCTCCCTCTCTCCTTCCCTTCCCCTCTAAAGATAAATAAAATATAAAAAAAAAATGTTTTTAAACCATGTATGTATATGACTTTGTCTTTTTTATACAATCAACAGAATATAAAATGAGAAACAAAAAGTAGACAATAGAAAAGGATATATAATTAAGAATATGTCTCCTTCCCCAGAGACAGCCAACTGTGGCTTCCCGGTCCTATGGATATTCTTCCAGGTTGTGGGATAGTCTATACGTGCCTCAGTTTCAAAGGATTCTATATATTTAAACGTTAAAGATTTAGAAGTGCTTAGCACATGGTGAGCATTCTGTAGATGTGAACATATACCATTATTATTAGTCACCTATAGAATAAATTTCTAGCTGTAGATTTGCTGGCTCCAAGGTATATGCATTTTTCCATTTTATATTGCCAAAGATGTTACACCTATCTGCACTCCCAGCAACAGCGAATGAGATTTTGTTTGCCCGCATCCTACCCAACCCTGTTGATTATTTATTTTTGCCATTTTCCTGGATAGAAAATGGTAATTTATATATTTTATCTCTTTTACAACTAGCGACGTTAAGCATCTATGCTTATATAGCATAGGGCTTTATAACGCTGATAAATATCAGAATTGTACTACAAATCACACACATGTGCTCACCAATCAATTTCATTCCTTCCTTGTTTGGCCCTGAAACAGCCTAATGTCCTGCCAATGGCACAGAATAATTTGTGTCTGGTTCCCAAGCCAGATCCTTTCTCAAATGGCCAGACTGATCACCAAGATTTCCAAAAACACCATGCCTGGTAAAAAAAGGATTGAGACTCTTCGTGCCCTTTGACCAACCCAGCAATTTCATTTCTAGGAATTTATCTTAAGGGAAAAAATGGGAAGGCCATAGATTTCTGCACAGAGTGTTCATTAGAGTTATTTATAATAGCAATTAATCAATAAACAAATAAATAGGGAAAAAACTAGCAGCCATGTAAATACCCATCAGAAAAGGATTAGGTAAGCCCTGGCTGACATGGCTCAGTAGATTGAGTGCCAGCCTGTGAACCAATTCACAGGCGAAGGGTCACCAGTTCAATTCCCAGTCAGGGAACATACCTGGGTTGCAGGCAGGGTCCCCAGTAGGGGTGTGCAAGAGGCAACCACACATTGAAGTTTTTCTTTTTCCCTCCCTTCCCCTCTCTCTAAAATTAAAAAGGATTAGGTGAGTCCATGATAGTATATCTAAACAAGATTAGATTTATGCAGTTGTAAAAGAGAATGAGATACGAGTATATACTATCCTTTTATATAAAATTCACAAACAGGCGACACTAATCTATGGTATTATAAATCAAAATAGGGATCACCATTGCAGGAGGTACAGTCTGGAGGGAAGTGTGGGTGAGGGCCTTCTAGGGTGCAGGGAATGTTTTATTTAGTGACCCGGGGGCTGTTCCCTCAACTGTGACAGTTCATTGACTTGTACACTCACAATGTTTACTCTTGTCAATGATATATATTATATATACATTTCAATTAAGTTTTTCTAAAAATGGAGAGAAAAAATTTTAAATTTGGTGCTAGGTTCATGGAGATTCACTGTGTTATTCTTGCTCGTTTATGTATTTTAAAGTATCCATAACAGTAAAGCCAAAAACACATGGACATGGACAACAGTGTGGTGACTGTGCGGGGTGGTCGGGGTGGAGTACAAGGGGGTGAATGGTGATGGAAAAATACAGTTAAAAAAATTAAAAATAAGCTAAAAACAGAAAATAAAGGAAGATTTAGATGTACTGAAATCAGGTGATCTCCAAGGTCTATTATTAAAGACAAAGGAATGTGCAAAGAAGAAATAAGTAGTACTAATTGATATTAAGGATATTAAAAAAGGAGACTGCAGGCCCTGGCTGGTATAGCTCAGTGGATTGAGCATGGGCCTGTGAACCAAAGGATTGAGGTTCGATTCCCAGTCAGGGCACATGCCTGGGTTGCAGGCCAGTTCCCAGCAGGGGACACATGAGAAGCAACCATACATTGATATATTTCTCCCTCTCTCCTTTCCTTCCCCTCTAAAGATAAATAAATCTTAAAAAAAAAGGGGGGGGAGACTGCAGAATAGTATGTTTTTGTTTAAACTAAAATAAAATAAATCTCTCTCCAAATGTATAGAAGGAATTGTGGAAAGAAACACACTGAAAGGTTAATAGTAGTTATCTCAGTGAGATCGAGTGGCTTTTGCTTTCTTTCTTTTTTTACAGTATAATAAACGTGTACTTTCATACTTGGAAAAAAACACCACCACTACTTCCAAGGTATTGTAGAAGAAGAAAGGCCGCAGTGTTCGTTTTGAAGTGACATTCCCGAGAGAGTGTCCCACAGTGTCTGGAGCTGTCACAGCTTCACTTAGACATGAACGAATCCGTCCCAGGGCACCACTGGGAGGCGTCTGCCAAAAGTCTGCTTTCTGCACCTGGGGAGTCCTTACCCAGTTTTTCAAGGCGGGGCTAAGGCACCACTCCTGCGTGTTGGCTCCTCCTGGTCAGATTCCCTTCACACTGGGCTGAGGAGCCAGAATAACAGCTAAAAATAATAGCGCTTATATAGCAGTTATTATGTAAAAGGATAGGATCTAAGTACTTTACATGTGTCATATTCAACTAATCCTCTCGGTATCTATTTATTGACTTCATTTTACTAATGATGAAAATGAGGCACAAGAGGTTCACTAACCTGCCCAAGGTGTTACAAATAGTAGGAGGCAGAGCTTGGGTTTGAACCCAGACAGTCTGGCTCCCAGCATCCATGACCTTAACCACTATGCTATATTTCACAGGATGCACTCGTCAAACCTAAGAGCCTTAGATGACAGGCACCTGCAGATGAGTATCACCAGACCTACCTAAAATGTCAAACCAACTCTGAGGACAGGGGAGGAAAAGCTGGCATCATCACAGCAGCTGAGGTTTAGGGGAAGATTACTCTGCCTGGCACCATGCTGAGCTTGAGACACCCTGCCTCTTCTAATCCTCACTCTGTGGGAAGTAATATCACCTCTCATAGATGAGGGAACTGAGGTTCAGGGAGGTGATACAACATGCTTAAGGTCACAAAGCATATTGAGAGCAGAGCTGGGATTCAAATCCAGGCAGTTTGGCTCCGGTCGAGCCTGCACTATTGACAGCCTGGCCTCTAGTTGAGGAGGAAGGCTGCAGGTGCTGTGCAGAGAGCAGGGGCTCACACCCACCTCGGCCACGGGACTTGGCTCCTGGTTTCACGATCCAGATGTTGCGATCTCCTTCCATGTCCATCTGGGGCAACACGGCCCGGAGCTGCTGCAGGACGTCCTCACAGCGCTGGACATGAGCATCGAGGTGCATGAGCTCTGCCCCCTCACTGTGGGGAGATGATGGGTCTTGGGCAGGACTGGGCCTGGGGACGGCCTGGTAGACAAGGCAAAGGGAGACACAAGCCCCCTGGCCACGGTCCTGCCAGCCTTCGTTGTGCCCTTTCCTCCCTGCCGATCCACATAGGTCTGTCTGTCTCTCCCAAACCTCCACACCCACCCTCAAGCTATCCTCCAGGGTGCCATGTGCCCAGGGCCCCATCCCAGGATGCTGGGATGGGAGAGAATGGGGAGACGCCACTTGTTGGACCCCCACTCCACTCCCACGCTCCACTTTCTGCCACCTCACTTTCCATCACCTTAAAATTGCCTTTGGCAGAATTAATCCCACCATACCTAATGGTGAGGCACCACTACGTGCCAGGCTGTGTGCCGAGGACTTTACATATATTCTCACTAATCCTCTCTGTAGCCCGGCCAAAAAGGTATTACTGGTCCTATCTCAGAGCAGTGTAAACTGAAGCTTGGAGAGTTAAGGGACTTGTCCAATACCACAAACTGAGTGAAAAGCTGAACCAGGACACAAACTACATCCTGCCTACACTTACAGGTGTGTTGGGGGTGTTTACTCTGCCTTCCAATCTGGACCTCACGCTGTTTGCTATGTGAATCCCTTCCTAGTCTCATTCTTCTCAAGCACATCTGCATCACACATCTTGCTTTCTTTTCTCTTCCTACAATCTACCACCTGACATCTACACTTAGTTACTGTCTGTCTCCCCTCACTGGCATGTAAGCCCCGTAAGAGCGGGGACATTTCTGTAGCTGTTATTCTCTGTTGCCTTCCCCTCCCCAGGCGGTGTATCTGGCACTTACTCAGCACTCCCTAAAAGTCTGTCAAATGAATGGATGGTTGGGTAAGCGAGAACTCTGGCAGGAGCTTGCCTCCGCTCCTGGTCTGTACAGATTGGGGTTCACGGACAAAGAGAAGCCCTGTTCCCTACAGGACACAAACTGTCCTGAATTAAACCACGCCACAAAAAAACAGCCCAGGTGGCTGCCTCATCCAAACTCTCCGATTTCTTCTCTTCTAACTGAATAGGAAGGAAGCCTCGACGAGACGCTCACCTCCCTTTAACATCTGAGCCCCCTGACTGTCTCCAGCCACGGAGAACTTACCCTCTTGTGATAAGGAGGCAGCAGCAACCACCGGGGCAGGGCCAGGCACAGGGACCGCAGGGTGGAAGGGGTGCAGCGCGGCCTCTTATTCACGCCTGAGCCCTGACCCTTCTACTTCCAGAAGGTTTGCTGGGAACCTCCCCACAGGCCAGAGCACAAAGAATGTGCGCCGTAAATCTGTGATTTGGCCCAGAATAGTGTCACCTGGGGGTGGCAGGGGCACATGTAGCAACTGGAAAAAGTATGTTTGGCATGACAATATGTCTTTATATTTAACAAAAAGAAAAAATAACCCCTGTGCTGTGGAAACTTGGCCCTGGAAAAAAAGCCTGGCTGCTGAGTCATGGATTTGTTTTAAAAAGTTGGGAAAACACAGAGAACAGCATGGGGGCTACCAGAGGGGAAGGGGCGGGGGGAGGAAAAGGTGTGGGAGGGGAGGGGAGAAACATGGCCATAAATATTAAAGGAATGAATGGAGGCTAACTAGCTACCCTGAACAACTTGACACTTACAGGTGTTATATGATGCAATGTTTTATGACATTCCAACTTGTGAGAAGTTCCTACAGCCCTCTAGAACCTGCCTACACCCAGAAATAAGTAGGACTCACATTCTTTTCATGTAACATTCTAACTCAGTCTTGATAATTCTTAGTTTAAGAAGGGTGGCTTCGCCCTGGCTGGTGTAGCTCAGTGGATTGAGCGTGGGCTGCGAACCAAGGGGTCGCCAGTTCGATTCCCAGTCAGGGCACATGCCTAGGATGCAGGCCAGGCCCCTGGTACAGGGCGCGCAAGAGGCAACCGCACATTGATGATCCTCTCCCTCTCATTCTCCTTCTCTTCACCTCTCTCTAAAAATGAATAAATAAAATCTTTAAAAAAAAAGAAGAAGGGTTTACATATTCTGGGAGCTAAGGGGGAAGTACAGGATCATTTCTACTTTTTGACACTTAAAAAAGATACAAATGAATAATTTATCAATAATCTGGGTTTTCTCACATTCATTCAAAGTTCATTATTAGCTCTTTAGTCTTCCCTATAAAGAAATCATTGAATCTGTTCCATTCTTCCCTCTTAACCCACCCCAGTGAGACCCTGAGCTCTCCCTCCTGGCTTGCTGCAAGTCTCCCAACCTGAGTTTTGTGTCCCTTGACAGCGGGGTCTACGTGTCATTTCTGGAGCCTGGCACACAGTGCTCTGCCTTCCGAGTCCTCTCCCTCCATCTCTCCTGCACGGAATCTCCCTGCAATAGTGCCAGTCTCATCCTGACACTCCTTTCCTCTGCTTAAGAACCTTTCCCAACCCGTGCTCGGAAAACACCCCCCCTAGGGATGTTCTGGGGGGGCCTAGGGTCACCCGGGTACAGGATACACAGTAGGTCCTCACTTAACATTGTTGATAGGTTCTGCAGCTAAGTGAAACAATGTATAACAAAACCAATTTTACCACTGGCTCAATGACATAAACAAAAGTTCCCAGAACAGCATCTCATCAACGTTACAAAGACATGTTATTTGAGGACCTCCCACCTCCGACGTTGCCTGCTCCATCTCTCTCTCTCCGGGGTATGTCCCACCCATGCATTCTAGAAAAGCCCTGCACCAGTGAAACCTGCTACTAACTTTGTTTAACCCGATGTTTTCCAAAGATAATTGACCACAGAGTCTACCCTTCCCCGCCGCCCCCCCTTTTTTTTTCTACACAAAATTGATTTACATCCTGTGGAACCAGCATCCTGTCAGCACACTTTGAGAAACACTGGCCTTTAAGATAAAATCGAATTGACTTGACAGATCTTTATTTTGTGAGTGAATACTGAGTCTGTGCTGAGCACATAATACAAATTATCCTGTCTAATCCTGCCTTTGAGCAAGACAATGTTTAAAAATTATTTTAAATTTATTTATCTTTAGAGGGGAAGGGAAGGAGAAAGGGAGAGAAATATCAATGTATGGTTGCCTCTCGTGCGTCCCCTGCTGGGAACTGGCCTGCAACCCAGGCATGTGCCCTGACTGGGAATTGAACCTCAATCCTTTGGTTCGCAGGCCCATGCTCAATCCACTGAGCTACACCAGTGAGGGCTGAGCAAAACAATTTTTAAAAATATATTTTGCACTTGAGAAAAGTCAAACTCCAAAAAGATTAGTGACCTTCACAAGGTGATCGAGCTTGAAAGTTGCAAATCTAGGACTGTAATTGAGGTCTCCCTGATAGCACAAGCCATGACCTTTGTGACTCTGCTATGCCGAGATCCAGGAAGGAAGGTTTGCATCACATTGAGAAGAAGTGGGAGCCCTGAGGAGTTCCTGGGCAGGAGAGTAACAGGGCAAACAAAAGCGAGAGGCTTAGGGAGGAGGCGGGGGCTGCACTAGAGAGGGTCTGTCTTTGACTGAGAGGCCCCCTAGAGCTGGGGGCACATGCCTGGGCCCCACGCAGTGCTGCAGAGATACTCACTGGACCACTTGGTAGTAGCGCTGGAGGAAGAGGGCCCAGCCCTCAGGGCTGAGGTACAGCGGGGCCTCCAAGTCCCTGTCAATGTCCAGGTGGGCCAGGTTGCTAAGGTGCTCCTCACAGGCGCGCAGAGCCTCATCCACAAACTCTGGGGACACCTTCACCGGCTTTTGCTCCTGTGTCGTGGGCTGCTGGTCTTCTGCAGAGGCATGGAGGGGCCTATCACTATGACAGGTAACCTGACACACGCTACGGCATGCACGGCTCCAAGGCCTGTTGCTTAAATAAGGACTCTCCCAAACACATCTGAGACCCACCACACACCTGCAATTGCTCACTGCCCTGGGACCTGTCACTTACCTGAGACTTTATTCTAAATTCACCTGAGACCCTAGTGCTCACCCTTGGCCCCCCACTGTCCCCAAACCTGTCAATCACTTGAGGGTCCATCCCAGGGCCTCTCAGCCCCTATAACCTCAGACACGCCTGCATCCTTTCTGATCCTGGGACCTCTCACACACACCTGAGGCCCTTGTGCCCCTGATCCTAGCACACCCAGGGAGAAGCAATAGGGAGGTCTCCCTGTGGAAGAAAGAGGGATTTCCATGCCCCTTATGGCCCTGAATCCCTGGCTAATAGGCCCCTGGGGCTTTGAGGTAGGAGTCCAGAAAGGGAAAGGGCAAGCAATGGATTGGGCAAACATGGAATGTGGCAACCTCTGTGCCTCCACAAGGCACAAGGAGCCCTCAGACCACATGAAACTATGCAGTTTCACTACTTCCTCTCCTGCAAAGACCTGAGCTCCCCACAGACAGGACTTAGTCTGTCCTCACTGGAGAGCTTGGCCACATTCCAGGCCCATGGAAGGGCTGAATAAGGCAGTGGATCAATTAACAAATGGATAGGAAGATAGGTGGGTAGGTGGTTGGGACAAAGGAATGAATGAGTGGATAGCCTGGAGGATGGACAGGTGATGGAGAGAAGGATGGAAAAGCAGGTGGATAGATGTGTTCATGGGTCTGTGGAAGGGTAGGTAGGAAGGTGGCAGAGTGGAGAGATGAATACAAAGTGTGTTCCTGAGGGAAAGTAGGTGAATGAGTAGATCGACAGTGTGGGAATAGGTGGGGAGATGAATGGATGGATGGGTAGGTGAATGTGAGATCGGTGGGGGTGTGGGTGAGTGGGTAGGTAGATGGACGGGTGGGTAGATGAATGGAAGAACAGAGGGGTGGGTAGATGTACAGGTGGGTGGGTAGGAAGGGATGGTGAATAGGCAGATATGGATAATAAATAGAAGTGTGGGTGAATAATAAATGGATGGGTGGATGTGTGGGAGGATAAATGGATGAGGGGATGGAGGGAACCACAGAGTACTTACGTGGGGCCTCTTCCTCTTCTGCCTGGATAGAATGTGACTTCCATTCGGACTTTGCAACCAGCTTGAGAACGTTTCGGGCAGCTGTCAACCAGAAGTCCTCTGCTCCGGGAGCAGGGGATACTCTGCTCAGCCTCGAGGCTCCAGGCATGTTCTGGTTCTGGAACCTGATCATGACCTGCCCTGCCTTGGATCCAGACCTGACTACCTTCTAATTACAGAACCTGGCTCCTGTTTCAATCATAGAATCAGACCCAGATTCTGACTTGACTTGGCTCATATTCTGCCTTTAAAATCTCACCTAAACCTGTTCTCTGATTTCTTTCTTCTATTCCTGATGGACTTCTAGCCTGAGAACCAATAGGTTTTTGGCCCCGAACCTATTTTAGATTTGGAGACTAATTTAAACCTAGCATCCACTCTGGCTCCAAATTCTGACTAGAATTTATAACCTGTTCTGGAATTGGAAACTATTCTGCTCTAGAAGCCCAAAGTCCAGAACCTTTTCTGGATTAGGAAACCCAATCTAACCAATCTAACCAATGGAATTTGACACAGGCCTGGAATCCATTCTGGATTCCAAACACAGCCCATTGACTAACTTTTAGAACCTGCTCTAGAATACAAGTTAAACTGCCCAAGATCTTCTGGAGGTCTGGGCTGACGAAGCTAGGAGGCTCATTAAGAGAGCCATACTAGGGAAAGATAAGGATGAGGATGGAGAAGGAATTCTGCTGGGGTCGACAAGTGCATGAGGAGAGAAGCCTTCATCCTGCAGCCAGAGGAGTCCAGGCACGGGGATGGTCATCTCCTTACCTATGAAGGCTTTTTTGTCATCCTCAGCCCCCAGGCGGTAGCAGCGTGGAAAGAAGGAGTCAGCATCAGCCTCATCAAACCACGGCAAGTTCCGGAGATTGAGACATAGACCCACCTATGGAATTAGCCACTGAGGGGTCAGGGTGGGACTTGCCCAGAGAATCTTCCAGGGGCTCTCCACCCCCAGTGCCAGCCCAGACAGCTCCAGGAAACTCTGCCTGGACATTCTCAGAGACTCTGAGCACTTGCTGGGCCTGACTCGCTCACATCCACACCTCCAGATGTTCGCCCACTCAGCCCCTGCTGAGAAGGCCCCACATCCCTCCTATCCAACCTGTCACATTCTTAAAGAACTGCTTCCTCTAGGAATCCTTCCCAGTCCACACCAAAAAATACACTAGCAGGTCCCAACTATAAAGACCTCATCCTTGCCACTATCCTAGAAGATAGTTTTACTGCTATTCTCATTTAAAGGTGAGGAAACTGAGGCTTAGAGAGGTGAAATCACTTGTTAGTAAACCTTAGTTTATTAACAACCTTAGAAAGATTAAACCTTAGTTTATTAAACCTTAGTAAGATAGAATGGATCCATCAGCCAGATATCCTCTGCTTAGGAGGTAAGGGCCTTCTTGCTCAGTCATTGAACTTGGTGTTTGTTCTGGCTCCAGATCCTGTTTGGATCCTGGAGTCTATTTAGTCAATATCTAGATGTGCCAGACATGCTACAGGGGTTGGAGTTGAACCCAGGACTGTCTAATTCCAAATCCCACTGAGTTACATACCAAACCCCTCCTGAGAACTCTCTCTTAATGCCAAGGACAGCAGGGAACTGGGTTGTTGGCCCAAGGGCTGGGGGGTTGGAAAGTACCATGCCCTCTTCCCCGGGGAGCCCACCTTTGTGGTAAAGGAGCCAGCCCGGGCATAGTGGTTTATCATTTGATCCTTAGAGAGGAAGCGACAGTCCAGCACATCCCGCCGAGTGGTCCAGATGAAGTAGGGGATCTCATTCCGAACCATGCGGGACTGGGGAGAGGAGACAGGGGAGTCTGGTGTGGGCAGCACAAGGCTGGAAGACGCTTCTTCCCGCCCTGCTGAGCAGGGTGCATGAATGGAAGGAGAGGATGCTTCCACGATGGCCTCTAGCCTACACCAGATGTGTAAAATAAAAAAGGACAGTTTTTCCTCCAGGGCACAGACTAGGTGAGCAGCAAGCAGGCAGGCTTGCAGCCTCTTGTGGCCAAGTGCTCCTAGGCAATGACTAAGCCACACAGCTTAATACCACACCTCGTTCTGGCCCATGGCCATCCGTGACTTGCTCAGTGGCAGGACAACGACTCCAAGCTGGTGGGTGCATAGCATGTGACAAAGGCTCTACGCCTCTCTCTCTTTCCTACAACTCTGGGAAGTACGATATTAATAAGCAATAACGCCACATGCTAGACCATGTTCTAAGCACTTTCCATGTCAATTTCCTTAATCCTCAGCAGCCCCTGTGAGGCAGGTGCTATTGTTGTCCCCATTTCACAAATGAGGAAACTGAGACATAGGGAGGGTGACTTGTCCAAGGCTGACAAGGTTGGGCCATATGAAACTGCCCGTGCTCAACCTTTCCTGACATACAAAATCAGCAAATGGGTATCGTTCAACTCGGTAAGTGCTGGCGGCAAGACTCGAAGCCAAGTGTCCTCACCTCAACATGCATGTCTTCCACACCATCATAGCAGCTTCTTTCAAAGCTTTCTAAGCCCTTCTTCTCAGCCTTCACTTGCCAAGGGCAGAGGAAGGAGATGAACTCGGGGGGTTTATTTGGAAGGGGGAATTCCTGGGCTTGGAGTCTGTGCCAGTTTCTGATACAGCCTAGCCAAGTTCTGGTCCCAGGCCCGCCCCACTGTGTCAGAGCCCCACTGTGTCTCTCAGCACTCTGCTAGGCCATCCAGGCTTCAGAGAAGCGGCTTTTACCGCAGATGGGGAAACAGAGGCTCAGAGAAGGAAAAAACTTGTCTGGGGCCATCCAGCTGGACTCCAGTGCTCTCCCTCCAACTAAGTAGACCCCTGCCAGTCCCTTGGGCCCTCACCATCAGAGCGTGTGTCCCATCTGGGTCATCAAATTCCTGTGCGTCATCGAAGTCAAACAGTTGTGGTGTCTGGAATACCTCGTCCTCATCTTCATCTTCTGCAAATGCAGAGTCCAGGCCTGGTGAGGCCCCTGCCCCTGCCCCCACGGGCCCATACTGAAGTCTCAACCCTGGGACAGTGGGGACCAAAGAAAAGGGACTCGGGAGAGGCAGCTGGTGAAATGGAAGGAAGCGCTCACCATCCTCAGTGGTGTTGCTATCATCCATTACTGAGCTGTCCAGATCCTTCTGTGGGGGCAGCAGGGTGGCGCCTGAGGAACGGACCATCTTCTTCTCCACCCAGCCCCTCTGGCGCAAGAGGCACCGGATTACTGGGTAGTGACCTTGGATCATAAAGATCTTCTTCTGCTGTAAGGTGAAAGAAGGATACTTGTTCAGTAAGTACCACCTAAGTGCCAGACATAGGGAATGGTGAACCAGACAGTTATGGGCTCTGCCTTCAGGAAATCTTTATATTCTAGTAGGGGAGAGAGATTATAAACAAGTAGATAAATAAATATGCATAGTCAAAATTATAATGGTAATAGCTAATATTTATTGAACACCTACTATGTGCTAAGCATTTATATATATTACTAAAAATAACATGTATTTTTCAGATTATGAGACTGACGCACTGCCTACTGAGCTAAGAGGGCACCTTAAAATAACATGTATTTTTAATAGATGCTATATCCCCACTTAACTGGTTAAGAAACAGAGACAGAGAGGTTGAATAGCTTGGCCACACAGTGGTTAAGTGAAAAAGCAGGGATTTAAATCCAAGCTGGTTGGATCCAAACACCAGATACTGAACGGGGATCCAGGGAAACTAGAAATACACACACAGAGAAGGTAGAGAAGAAACCGTGAACTTTACAGAGCTGGGGAGATGGCAGTGGAGTCAAAGGGGAAAGCATGTGCAAAGGTCTTGAGACTGGAGAGAGGTCTGAAGGAACTGGAAGGAGGCCAAGGTGAGGATGGAAATGAGGGGGGCACTCCTGAGGAGACAGGTCATAGCTGGACTGGAAGGCCCTGCAGGCCTTGGAAACAGTCTTGAATTTTAGAACAGGAGCATGAAGTACGAAAGGCAAAGGGAGGGAGTGCCATGGCTGGAGGCTCCATAAGTTTGGCTTGCTGCTGTATAGAGACCAGATGGAGGAGACAAGGGTGGAAGTAGGGATGCCAGCTGGAAGGCTCTTGTGGTTTGTGTAGGAGAGAAATCACAGTAGCTAGAATGAAGGTGGCTACAATGGGGAAGGGAAGAAAGTAATAGAGTTGAGACTTGTTCTAGAAATAGAGATGATTGGTTTTGCTGATGGGAGTAGATGTGTGGGTTAAGTGAACAGAAAGATCAGATTTCTGGCTTGAGCAACTAGGAGATGGGGAGAACCAGGGACCAGTGAGGACTGGTTTAGGCAGGCAAATCAAGAGTATGGTGCGGGACATGGAAATGCTTTTAAGTTCTCTAGATAGAGATGTTAAGTAGGTGCTGGATCTGCTGGGTGTGGAGTTAGAGCACAGGCTGGGCAGGAAAGGGCATGTGAGGGGCACAGCACACTGTATGGACTCACAGCCAAGGTGACAGGTGCGGAGAGGGACCCAGAGAACCACTAAAGACCCAGGCGCCTTCCAAGACAACTGAAAAGCAGTAGCCAGGGAGGGAGAAAAGAAAACTAGGAATGAGCAGACAGCCAAGAGAAAAGGGTGTGTGGGGAGCAGTGCAGAATGACACAGAGTGCGCAACAAAGATTAGGACACAAAGAGAGCCGCTGGGAAGTCCCTAGTGACATTGACTAGAGTGGCTCCTGAAGGAAGTGGGGAAGGACCCAGAAGAGTAGTGGGAGCTAACAGCGAATCCCAGGTAGAGAAGCAGACAAGTCTGCTAAGTGAGGGGTATCAAACATAGGGAGGTATTTGAAGATGGATGTGGGATCAAGGGTTTTTGTTTGCTTTTTTAATGATGGAATAAAATAGTTCAGGGAGACAGGCTGAGCCATTCTAGAACGAGATCCCCACAGTCCCCTCCGACCTTGACAGCTTTCTCTACATAGATCTTGGCTTTTCTCAGCCGGCCCATGTGATGAGACGCCTTCGACAATCCTGGCCAGAGGACAAGGGGACCTGCAGAAAGATGTGTAGTGAGGGCTCAGCCTAGCCCCAATGCCCACACGCCTTCTCTTTTTCTACCCTTCATCCAGATGCCCACTCTCCATCGCTCTTCTCCCGGCCTCCATTCCCTCCACCCCAAATCTTCCCGTCCTCCCTGCCACCGCCTCAGGCCAGGATGGGCCTACCGCACAGGGCCTCACCGTCCTGCAGCGGGGCATCATCTAGGACCCGGGTGTGCGAGGGTCCGAGGGGACGTAGATCTGTGGAGCCCTGGGCGTGAGTGCAGTGGGTGAGCAACTCGAAGGCGCGGCATGGGCTGTGAGCTAAGGCGGGGCTGCGGGACCGGCGTTCGCAGCCAGCGCAAGCCTCACTGGGCCAAATGGAGGCGGGCCGCGGCCACGGCTGCGTCTCTGGAGGCCCTAACATCGAGTGGCGTTCCCAGGGCCATGGGACTGTGGAACTGGTGCATGGCTCGGGCGGCTGCGGCTTCCCCAGCCAGCTGCATATGGGGCCACCCTCCTGACGGTACCAGGCGGCGGAGCCTCGGTGTGAGACCCTCGGCTCCCCCGCGCTCAGGAGCAGCACTGAGCGGGGACCCTGCATACGCCCCTTCCCCACGCCGCCTTCTCTCCGGGGTGGGCCCTGCGGAAGCCCTAGTTGGGCCCTACATTCCGAGGCTCCGCCCCCTGTTTATTGTCACCTTGGAAACCACTTCTCGTCACTCTCTGGAGGGCGGGCTGGTTCTAAGGTTTTCAGGATTTGCCAAGCAGGAGTCTCACCTGCCCCAGACACTTGATGAGCATAGCACTGATGGTGGAAGCGCGTACATCACGAGGCTACCAGTTACTATCACCAGTGCCACGGTTCCTCAGCCAACACTTCCAATTCCACAGTATTTATAGAGGACCACGTGCTATGCGATAGGCTAGGCTGGTCCCTGACCTCATGGAGTTCACAGCCCAATGCAGAGGAAACAAAAAGTAAGCAACAAAAGTATAAAAGAGCTATAAGCATGATAAGGGCAATGAACTAAAACCAGGAAGGGGGCATATTGTGGATAAGGCAGTCAAGAATGTCCTCTGAAGATATGACATTTAATCCAAAGCCTTATAGAATGCAAAGGAGGTCAGGAGTTAGCTAGGGAAGAGGGGAGGAATAGCATTCCAGAGAGGCAAGCCTCCGCAATAGCCAAGGAGGGTAAGAAACTTTCTGGGAAACTAAAGGCAGCCAGTGTGGCTGGAGCCTGATGAGACAGGATGGCATCTGCAGGTCCTTGGGGACAAATGGAAAGACGGTATATGGGGGAAACAGTGGCCAAGGCAGAGTGCACTCCTCCCCACCCCCACTCCACAATAACCTGGAAATAGTAAAACAGATCGTTTGAGTCAACTGCAGATAAAACGTAATTGAAGTTACATACAGCCCTCAAGGCAAAAATAAGGAAACTTTTTGGCGGTAGTGGCAAGGTGGTATCCTCAAAAACCACAGGTGAGGTAAATAAGCCTCCAAGATGTCAAATAATTTGCATCATAACACATTAGGGCCAGAACTGGAACCCGGGTCTGACTCCAAGGTCCCACTCTCTTTTTTTAGTGTATGTGCTGCCGAAGTGAGCACTAAGGCCCCACTCTTAAACAGTTAAACATAAGCCCATGTTATGGCTCATAAGGGTTGTCTACTGGTCGTGGATGGGCAGTTTGAAAGACAAACTCTAGCAGTGCCCATTTAAGCAGAGTCCAGGGAAGAAAATATCCTGGTCGAAAACACCCACTTTGTGTAGTCATTGGCTAGGTCTGCCCAATCAGTGACGGTGGGTCCTCCTCCTGTCTAGCCAACCCTGACCACCCAGAACACCATTCCCAACCCCCTCCCCCACCATTGGCTGATGACTGGGCTGATTGGAAACCATCCAGTCTCTTCTTAACAAGCAGCAAATTGGGTTCCAGGGGCTCCAGAACCTGGGAGATGGACCCATGACAAGAATTTTGGCTGGCTCACCCAAGCAGGACTGTCCTCCGAGAATAAGTGAGCAGCCGCCCTACGGTGGACACCAACTTCGCTGTGAGCACCTTTAACACTCCGGGCAAAGCCAGGACATAGCCGTGTGCCCCAGAGGGCACACCTCGCGCTGCAAGGCAGGACTGGGAGGTCACAGAGCTAAGTCATAAAGGGGGTGATAGCTGTCCAAGTTGCCCCCAGCCCAGCCCCTCCCCCCTTTAACATGACCTTGTCCTCCACTTCAAGAGATCCTTCAGTCACCTGGAAGAAACTCTTTTGAAAGCACAAAAAGGGGTTTCAGAAGGGCTAACCCTTCGGAAACTTTCCCTAGCACCCTCTTTCATACATGCCCTGTAGGCTTCCAGATTTACATTAGTACAAAACACTTCAGCAAACATATTTATACATCCGGCTCCTTTCCTGTCTCTCCAAGACAGGGATAGTGTCAACCCCCTTGTTTGGCACAATGGAATTATCAGCTTGGGATAGTGGACTGGTAGAAAGATCAGCTATTGTTTACTTAGTACCTGTACAGCAGAGACTGGTTATTTACATTCATTATCTCCACTTTACAGACTAAGACACTGAGGCACAGAGTACAATTTGCTAAACTTGTAAGAGGATTCAACCACGTGTTTTGAAACCTAGTACTGTCCAACAGAGCTTTCTGTGATGATGGAAATATTCTACACGTGTCGCCTGACACGGTGGGCATGTCACTGGTAGCTGTCGAGCACTTGAAATGTTGCTCGTGGGACTGAGGAAGTCCATTTTAAGCCTTATTTACTTTGAATAATTTAAATGTAAATAGCCACACACAGCTACTGTCTCCACACCGGTAGAGGCAGAAGTCTGGGATTTGAAGTCTACTCTCTTGCTCAGTTGCTAGATTTGGGCTAAGCTGCTGCATCTCATAGAACCTCAGCTACCCCAGCCATAAAAAGGGATCATTATCACTCTGAAGTTGGCTTTTAGCCCAAATCAGCTCACTAGGTGGAAAGCCAAAGTTCTTTATAGGCAGAGATGTCAGGGACCAATCCTAAAACTTTCTGGCAGTGGCCCCAGGCCCAAGTACCAGCCATGTGGTTTTAAGGAAAAAGCCCCACCACCCCTTTTATATATGCACACAGAGCCCAGACCTCATGCAGCCCCAAAGGGGCAAGAAGAGACTTTAATCAGGGGAGGGAGGATCCACTGGAATAAGAAAAGGTACAGCGAGCACGGGAGCAGAGGAGCCAGGGCAGGTGAAAGGGCCCCAGCCAGGAATCTGGTAGGACTCACCTCTCTACCTTTAGTACAGGCACTGCACTGACAGACAAGGCGAAACACAGGCCCCTCTCAGCTGGAAGGGCTTGAAGCAGCCCCTGTGGCCAGAGGTTACCTGGCTTTCTCACTCCAGCTCCTGGGCATGGCTGGTGGCCACTGGTTCAGCCCTTGTCCCCAACCAGTGCTGGGTGGCCGTCTTCAGGCAGAGCTCAGGAAGCTGGCCACTGCTAATGAGCCCAAGGAGGCTTGAGAATAAGAGGGCAAAGGAGAGGAACTAGAGTCTGAAACCTCCTTCCCTCCCCACACAGGGTGGACTGGGGGAGGAACAGTAGTCAGTCGCCTTCTGGCTCCAGGCCCGCCCAGACCCACAGCGACCAATAAGGTACAATCACTGGGACCAGTAACAGCCACTGAAGGTGGAGATTGTTTAAAAAAAAAAAAAAAAAAAAAAAAGACAAAAAGATTACAGTCTCCTACAAGCACAGTTTAAGTTTCAAGACGTTAAAAAAAATCTGTCCCAGCCCAGGGGACTGAACATCAGAAGCCAGCCTGACCAGGCACGTGTGGCCTTGGGGCAGGTCCACTGCTGCTTTGTTGCCAGCTAGCAAGCACACCATCCCCCCCTCCCACGTCTGATGCCCACCCCAACCCAGTTCCCCTCCTCTGCTTCCACTGCCGCTCTGAGACGTAACTCCAGGACGACTTCGCAGAGACACAGGATTCTGAGGGGGAAGGCCACGAGATCCAGCCAGATGTTTAAAACTGTCAAGAGAACCAAGAGATGGTAAATGATAGTTACTGCTGTACCCCAGTGGGCCTGCTGCAGGGTGGGGGGAGGTGGAGTGGGGGAGGTGGGCTGACCCGAGAGCTGCCACTGTGCCTAGATCTGAGGGGCAGGGTTGGTCCCAGGACACCCTTGTGGGTATGCTCTTTCTAATTCAGCAGTGACCTTTGGGGCACTGGCCCTAAACCCAGCACCAGACAAGGCAGAGAAATTACAGGTGCCATGGGCTTTCCCACAGCCGCCCTTGGCCACACCACAGAAGCTGCTGTAAAGTGCTGTCACAGCACCGTGCTTGGTGAACAGAGGTTGCCTTCTTTAGAGATGCAGGGCTTGGGGACTCAGAGAGCTGAGTACTTTGTGTCAAGCTCTGTGTGGTCCAACCAGGACTGACCCTTGAAATGTTTTCTGCCATCAAGTGTCCCCCATGGTGCCAAGACCAGCCCTGGACATTATACAGACCAACAAATGACCCAGCCCCAAAATGAGCAGTGTCAGGTCCACATGGTGTTTAAAAGAAAATGAATTAGTGGTAAACCTTGAAAATATGAAAGATTCTGGATGCAAATCCAGATTCTGGGTTTCTCTGGAAAAGCTGTAAGATGAAGCTGTGTGCTGGTGATCCGTTTCAGGTGAGGCGTGTGCTTGCCAGGCCCCCACACTACCCACTTCACTCATGCACGTCACCGCCCAGCCCTGGAGTGCAGCTCAGTGTGTGACCCCGGCCAGAGGCTGAAGTACTGTTCTAGATCTTTGAGCCTGAAACCTAGCTCCAAGTCCTAGTTGTCCCACTTACTGGCTAAGGGACCTGGGGCAGGGATTGAATTTGTTTGTTAATCCCCAGTTTACTAATCTGTAAAATGGGGATTAACACCTGACTCAAAGACTGTTTAAGGTATTGTATAACTATAGAAATATAATTATCATAAAAATGACTGATGAATGAATGACCTAAATAATAAATAGGACAAGAACCATTTTTCTTCACAGTTCAATCCAAAAGCCTACTGGTGCTATAATACATAGAATGTTGACTTATGTGCCAAATGGCATGTTTTCCATTCTTTTCCTCATTTTTTAATTATTGCTTTTTTTAAAAGATTTTATTTATTTATCTTTAGAGGGAAAGGGAAGGAGAGTGGGAGAGAAACATCAATGTATGGTTGCCTTTCGTGCATCCCCTGCTGGAAACTGGCCTGCAACCCAGGCCTGTGCCCTGACTGGGAATCGAACCGTGATTATCTGGTTCGCAGGTCTGCACTCAATCCACTGACCCACACCAGCCAGGGCCATACTTTTCCTCATTGTTCAACCACACTGACAAGGTTCAGATTAATTACTCAGTCTCCTCATTTTGCTTCTGAGAAAACAGGCTTAGCTGAGAGGTGCTGCCCCAGCCTCAAGCCCGGGGAGGCGGTGCAGCCTGGACTCACTCAGGCGGTGTGACCGCACAGCCCGTGCGACCTGAATGGGCACGCCGCCCTGTGCGCACAGGACAGCTACTCTGCGCGCTGGCTGCCCTCAGTACAGTTAAAGCCCGGGGGAAGAGGGTGTAATTTCCATTTATAGGAATCTGGGCTTCTTCTGGGCCGGGGCTGTATACAATGGCAGGAATAAACACTAAATCCACCATCCAGAGGTCACAGTCAACTCTGAGAGGAACATGTCAACAAACCAAAGATTGTTTGGAAGAAGAAAAAGAAAAAGAAGAAGGCATGTCCTGAACATCTAAACAAGAACAACTGTGTCATCAGTTCATCAATGTTTACAATTCCTCCTCTTCACAGGAGGGTAGCCCTTTCAATTACGAAGGCACAGACAACTGAAGAGGCACCCAGAGGACTTAGGCCAGGAAAGTGATGGAAAGCAGGTTGATGAAATCATGACTTCAAGCCTGAGAAACAGACACTAAAGGAAAATATTTCAGTCTGTTTGAGAATTGGAATTACACTGCAATTAGCTGTCCTACATGCCTAGGAAAATTCACATGTGGATTTAATTTGCCTTGCCTGCGGTTTGAACTAGTATAGGGAAATACGCTGTGTTCATTTTGAGAGGCAGAAATCAGCATTTAAATCCCCATAAAAGACCACAAGAGACATCCCCCGGACACCCAGTTATAGAAAATGTCCTATAGCTCTCAAAGATGAAGCTCAGGTGCTCCAGCCCTGAGGCACCACTAGCGATGCTAGAGGCCTCAGGGAACATTCACACACTGGCACCACTTTCCTGCCAGATGCTAAGCTCTCAACAGGACCCATGGCTCCGTCTACCTCTGGAAAGAAACCAGGAAGGCCCCTACTTACATTCTTGAGAAACTCCTCAGCCACAATGCGGGCACGGGCATTGACTGACAGTTTCATCTCACTGATCTCTTTGTCGATCTCCTCCATGAAGTGGATCACGAAGTCCACTAACTTGTGTTTATACATCTGCTCTGTGTGGAAGTTGGTGATCAGAAAACTGATGTCATACCCCTAAGGAAGGAAGATAGCAGAGAGGAAGAAACAGGAGAATATTAGTGTCCCAAGGGGAACTCAGCTGTCTATGTCCTCTCTGTTCACTCAGTCACATGCTTCCCCCTGGCTGTGGTCTTCTCTCAAGCGACACACCTTTCAGTCAGCAGCCCACCCACTCTCGTGGGGCATCTGTTGGCTGGATCCAGTGAGCTAAACCCAGTTGAATGTTTTGTGTAAATGAGATGTCTTGGGAAGACTATCTAGGGCACAAATAATTACGTTCAGAACAAGTCAGGGGCAAGTGAAGGGACTCGAAATCTTGTTAGAGAAGCATCTAATCAAACAGGGAACATTCAGTCTGAAGAGAAGAGATGCTGTAGAAGAAGGATGGAATGGAGTGTCTAACTACCAGAGGGGTTGCGTGTTCAGGAGCAGTTTTACTAATTCTGGGTGGGCTCAGAGGCTAGATCTACGACCAGAAGAAAGATTTTAGCTGAGAATCAGGATGTCTCCAACACATCTAATGTATCTTATGATGGTGTGTGCTGCTCTGTGTGGTAGTTGCTCGGTCACCGAGGGTATTTTAGGTCAAACCAACTGGGAGTCTGTGGAGAGGACTTAAGTTCAAAGTCAGCAACGACTGACCCAGTGTCAACTGTATCCTTGAGAGGCTATGAAATTAGTAGGTGGCAAAGCTCAGACAGGGTCTGACTTATTATGTCCTTTCTGTTGCTTTGGGAAGAGGAACAACATGTCTGCTCTTTTTTTTTTTGCCTTTTCCATGCTCGAGGCAGACCTAACTTTTCCTAAACCAACCCCCCCTTACTCTAGCTGATATGAAGGCCAACTCCCAACTCAAGCAGTTGGGTGGACACCCTACAACTGGAGAAGTAGCCATCTTGGTTCTAGAAAACAATTCTCTGCCAGTGACAGTGGATTCAGTGATAGAATCCTGAGTATTATGATCATGTGAATCACATGGTCTCACCTCCACTGGTTTCCTTCGAAGGATAAAGAAATTCTCTGCTCGCATCATCATGAAGCGCATGAACTTGTGGCATAAAATCTTCTCAATCTCATCAGCCTATTGAGAGCAAAGCAGAAATGTTGTTTCCCTAAAGCTGATACCCTTGGCCAACAGAAATCTATAGCCTGGTCCTCTGACCTAATACCCGCCCAGGCTCACTGGAGGCAGTGGGCTCTGGTACGGGGAGCACTCGCTGCCTGAACTCTGAATCATGGGCACTTGGTTGCCAACCGAAGGGGGGCTCTCCAACATTAGAGCACCTCCAGCACGGCACTGTAACATGGTCTAATCTCTGCCCACCAGACAGAGGTAACTCTGGCGAACCTGAGTCTTCTACCCTCTCCTTCTAGAGTCCTCACCTATATTCAAAGATGCCTTTCCTTTTCTCATTTCACTAGTGCTGCATTTCCCAGAGTCTGGGATGTACCTCCCCTGGGGTATCGGAAATAACCTCAGGTGGTCTCCACTTTAGTAACACCGAACATCAAACAATCTTGTTTCTCCCTGCTGAGCTCTCAAGATTTCTGAAAGGAAAATTTTGCAGCTGGGTACTGGTATGCCCTGAATAGTCCCCAACACCTGGTAATCTCCTCTTAACAACAACAGTGAGCCCCAGGAGTAGAGCTTTCTGTAGGCGACATAATCAGTTTTGGCTTCGTTATGTGTATTTAAAATTTTAGAGTTCCCTCCATTTGGCAAGTAATACTGTTTTTCCACTTGTGTTTCTTTTAAAGAAACTAACCCAATTTAAAGAAAATTATTAAATAAGTAACTGTCTAGGTAATCCATTGATATGGCAAAAATGATGGAAGTGGTGAGAATGTTAGACATTTGTAAAATGCTGTTTGAGGAAACATAAGAAAATGTACTTTGGTTTTTTAGCCTTAATCTTACTTTCAGAGTTTATGATTATCACTAGTACTGGTACTATTTATTTTCTAGAACTGGACTTATTCCAGGGCAGCCTTAAAGATGGAGTTGCTCGCTCTTCATTCCACCTATTTCCTGGGTACATTCAAGGAAAAAGAGTCTGTTTTTCCATCCACCCTGATCTCTCAGATGGGGACCCCTGGCTTCCCGCAGAGACAGGGGCTCTGCGGTGAGCTCACCTGTTTCACAGCAATGCTGACCCGGACAGAGTTGATGGAGCCCTCAATCAGAACCTTTTCCTTCTCATTCCTGCTGATGGTCACAGGTTGTAACAGGAGCTCTTTGCTACTCCTGAAAACACAATGTCACAAAGGCCACTGTACTAGAGAGGGACAGACTGTTCAGGGAAATCCCACAGCAGATCCCAGAATCATTCTCTGAGACCACAGTCCAAGGAACAGGAGCCTCACAAACAGGGTGCTCTCAGACAGGTGCCTGTGAGCGTACTCTCCAATGCAAAGAGCACAGGCTCTGGAAGTCAGGGTGGAATGCTTTTGAAATTCAGCCTCCTGTTATTTTCCTTGGGAAAGTTACTCTACTGGAATCTCCATGTTCTCATCTGTAAAATGACTCATTCCTGTCCCACTGGCAAGGACTGCGAGAGACCAAAGAGGATCCAGCGTCCAACAGCACGCCTGACACATGGTAGGAGCTTTGCGAACGGTAGCTCTTAATTTAGTAACTACAGACAAGCCCACATGCCATTTAAGGAATAAGAAGAGAGAATACCTTAGAGAGAAGGACAAGCTAACACAGTTTTGCATGTTTTAATGATCAATCCCTAATGATTCGCTTCTTCAGCATTAAGACCCCTCCCAGCTCAGCCCCTGTTCTGATGCCTCTGGGTTCCCAGATCTATGTAATGGTAATTATTGTGGTGGTGGTGTCTGTGAGCTGTTGTCATACTGAAGTGCCTAATAGAAACTATGTATGTTCAGAAACATAACATGACACATGCTAACATCTTGTCATTTTTTAAAAATTCCAATCATATCAACATAGTGTGGTAATGCCATGCATCTCATTTATATATATGTCCCAGATTAAACTTTAAGGGGTGAAATAACAACTTGTTTAGAAAACATAAACTAGATAAAAGAATATAATCCAAAATGCAGAATTGCACAATATTTGCAGGAGATATATTGAGTCCAGGTTGGTTGGGGAAAAAAAATCCTTGATTTTACCCTGGCTGCTGTAGCTCACTAGATTGAGCACCAGCCTATGAACCAAAGGGTTGCCAGTTTGAAACCTAGTCAGGGTGCGAGAGACAGCTGGTCAATTTTTCTCTTGCACATCGATGTCTCTTTTCCCCTCTTTCTCCCTCCCTTCCCCTCTCCAAAAAATAAATAAATAAAAAATATTTTTAAATCCTTCATATTTAAATTAGAACAAAAACAGAGATAACGTCTCATAACCAAATTCTCCATTCTCTTCTCAAACTGCCAGTGGGTTTAGTAATACCACAGGAGATACTTCACAAACAGCTCTGAGAGGTCCTACCTTATGTCAAGCAATCTTGGCTCCAGAGTAGCTTCTCCCCTGGGTTTTGTCCTGCCAACCCACTGACCCTATTTTCTGAACTCCAAATTGGGAACCACTGTTCCCATCTGGCAGCAAGACAAAATATGTGAACTGCTGTTGTCCTAACAATGTCAGAATGGAAGTTCAAGGCACATTCTAGACAACAGCCATCTGAGGCTGCACCCATCACCCCCACCCTCACCTTTTCCTTCCCTACCTGACTTCTACCTCCGGCTTGTTGTGTCGTTCCACAACCTGGGAAGAGAAGTTCTCCAGGCAGAGGGCAGCCTGCAGTGTGGCCCGCACGGCACTCAGGTAGGGGCGGAGAGTGGCAGTCTGTAGGAAAAACCCCAAGGGAAGATCAGAATGTCTCACCAAACCCACTGCCCCCCCTGCCCTAGCTACTCGGAAGCCAGGCAGTACTGGGGGTGCTGGGGGTGCCAGACTCCAACACCAAAGTAAACAGCAGATGAGGCCTTCAAGGTGCCTTCCATTCTAAGTCTAGACTAGTGGTTCTCAACAGGCGAGCATTCAGCAATTTTGAGACTTTTCACTGACACTACTTGGGATGGGAGTGCCACTGGCACTGAGAAGATAGAGGCCAGGCATACCACTAAACATTCTACAATGTGCATCAAAGAATCATTTAGCCCCATATAGTGCTAAAGGTGAGAAACTCCAGTCTAGAGGCTTATAGTGAATAATTGACCTCTATCTTTTGAAGCAAAAAAATGGGTAAGTCTACTATGTGTTATGCACTGAGCTAGGTGCTGGAAATTCAAAGATGATTAACACCATCTCTATCCTTAAACAGCTCAACGGGGAGGGAAAACTACAGTACACAGGATAACTGTGACACGGATTTGCAAGTTATATTTGTAGAAGTGGGCTTTCACTTGAAGATAGAAAAAGATTAGAATTTTACATTGACAGAAGGAAAGTCCCACTAGAAGGATCAGCTTCTAGCTACATTGGCCTATTATTTCCTTATATTAGCCAAGTTCTTTCCCACCTCAGGGTTTCACACATGCTGAACTATCTATCTGCAGGCTTTGCTACCCTCTCTTTGCCTAAGTCATCCCTCAGACGTTGAGTTATTCAGGGAAAACCTCTTCCTTCCTCAGAGAAGTCTTTCTTGACTTCCCCTTCATAGCATTTCTCATAATTTACCATGACACATTCGTTATACATCTTTAGTAAAGTGATCTCTCCTTCAGTAGACTGTCAGCTTCAACAGACCATGTCTATTTTATCCAAATCTACATTATTTTACACCTAGCTCTGTTAGTACCTAACATATGTATACAGTGTCTTATTTTCTGTACAATGAATGAATGAATGAAAGTAGTGTTTTAATCAAGGTTAGGATAACACAAGGCATTAAGAGTTCTGGAGTAGTAATGAGTGCAACGTTGCTGTATATGGGAAATATTTTAGATTGAGTAGATGACGCTGCAATAGTATCCTGGAGATTCATGGAGAATCTCAAATGCCAGGCTACTGAGTTTAGCTTTTCTTTTATGGTGGTAAGGAACTGCTGGTGCTTTCTGAAGGGGAAGTTGTATGACTACAGCTGCATGAAGACTCTGTGGAGATTGGACTGGAGAGGGAAGTGAGACATAATGCAGAGAGGGTTATTCAAAGAGTGCTGATGTGAGCCTGGACTGGGGCTGTGGAACAGGATGAGCAGAGAGTATCATAGGGGTTATATTGACACAAGATGTAGATGATCGTGGAATAAAAACACATTTCAACAAACTATGGTCCACCAATACAATGAACTACTACTCAGCAATAACAAAGAATAACTACTGGCACACGCAACATGGATGAATCTCACATGCATTATGGTAAGAAGCCATACTAAAAAGCCTACATATTGAACAATTCCATTTATGACAATCTAGAAAAGGCAAAACTATAGGGGGGAATCACTGGTTACCTGGGGTGGGGGAAGAGGGGCTTCAGAGAACATTCTGAGGTGATAGAAAAGTTCTGTACCTTGATTGTAGTAGTGATTACAAGACTGTGTTCGTCAAAATTCATAGATGGTAAACCTGAGAAGGCTGAATTTTCGGTGACCAGCCCTGTGACGCCTGCCCTTTCACAATTAAAATAGACATAGCCTCATGTAATAACTCAATATTAACTTGCTTTTCAAGAAAATCGAGAGATATAGCCATTATAAGGGACAAAGGAGGACAAGCAAGTTTAGGGGAGAGGTGGAGTTTTGCTCTGGAAATCTAATTTCCAAGGTGTCTCTGGACAAGGTGTCTCTAAGATAGCCAGACAAACTTTTCAAAAGAGAGCTAGGATGGCAGATTTAGGATTCACAAGGTCATCAGAGCCAGGAGACTAAGTAATTACCAATTAACTCCCAGGAATGCCCACATTTATCAAACGGGAGGATTTCCTGGGAGGAAGGGATCAACAGTATCAGATCTTATGTGTCACAGTAAGACTAACACGGTTGAGCTGTAGCCTGCAAAGGGCCTGGGTGGTGGCAGCATAAAAGAGGTCGATCCGTCAGTACTGTAGAAGGCAGAGGATAAAGAAAAGAATGGGATATGGAAGTGCAGGCGCTTCCCTTGGAAAAGTCGGTTCAAGCGGGCAGGAGAGAACAGAGCAGCGTTATTTAATGAAGTTTTATTCTGGTTGGAGACGTGGCCCTACTACATGCCTCGGCAACTCTGCAACGGGCTAAGGCCTACTATGTGCCTATGAGACGCTACCACGAACCTAGGAAGCATCACTTCCGGCTTCCTCCAAGCATCAATAGTATTCCCTACCTAACCCGAGAGACAGACCTTGAAGCCAGCAGAACTGTTTCTTACCAGGGCGTCACCCGCTTGACCCTCCCTCACTCCGGCTCCTACACCACCCTCTTTCTCCCAGCCTCATCATGCCCCCAACCCTCCAACATCCCTCGGCCCTGGGCCTCTCCCTTGCAAAACCGTATCTCCCCCAGACCCATAGCTTTGAGGAAAACCAGGTACGGGACGCCAGAGGGGTAGGAAAGGGGTCCCTGGCCGGGGGCCCGGGACTCTCACCATCGCGGGCGCTGGCTGGGCCGGAAAGCGGAAGTACGGAAGTGGCCCGGCCCAGGACGCTTGCCCTTTCCCGAGAAGCGCAGCCGCAGTCTCCTCCCGGACTTCCGGACGTTACCACTGAGCTCCGAGTGGGGGAAGGGGAGCCTTGCAAAACTTGGTCCTTTGTTAAGTTTTCCCGCTGGGCTTGTCTTGATTTTTCTAGACTCTTTAAGCTTCAAATAGGTACTCAGAATTCTCCCGTTATCCATGCATCTCTCGCTTTTGACTTTGGGCTTCTTGCCCTCTTTGTCGCTTTTTCCCCCCATAGTTATGCAATGGTGTAGCCCGGCCGCAGGTTGAGCACCTTATTTGGACAAGGCTAGGCGGAGGAGACCTTCGTTCCTTCCGGTTCTGCGCCCCCACCCTTTCTCCGGGCCCCTCCTATCGCCAGCCCCTGGGGCTCGGCGGGACTAACCGCTTGACCGAAAACCCGGCTGCCTAGCCCCGCCCTCCAACCTCGGCAGTTCCCTCGGGTACACCCGAGGCATTACCCCTCACCCCACCTGCAGTGGGCTAGCTGGCGGTCAGCAAACCCTCCCCTGCAAGCCACTGTGGGCTGGTCCTTGTGTTTCTCCGCCCCCGCGTCAACTGCAGGGTGCCTCCGCTCCTAGCCAGTTCCGGGTGGTTGATCCACCAACCGGAACTCCCCGCCCCCTCTCGCGGCCCGTGGGCCGTAGGTGGTCGGTGTGTGGAGGCAGAGGGGGCGGGGGCCGCATTAGGGGGTCCCAAGAGGACCGGGACACTGAAGGCGGGGTATCGGGACGACCCAAGGGTGGAACCAACCATTAAGCAGTCCCACTTCTTCTATGCCAGGCACTGAACTGGGCTCTTGACGAGCATCATCTCTTAATCCTCAGAACATCCCGGGGAGGTAGGTACTATTGTTATCCCCATTTTACAGATTCAGACTTCTTATGGGGAAACAGACCCAGACTTCTTTTGTCCCCATTTTACAGATGGAAAAACCGAGACTCAAGAAGGTTAAGTAACATCATCAGGGTCACATAAATAGAAAATGGTAAAGCCTGGGCTTGGACCCAGGTATGCCTGGCTTACCAGCTACATTCTTAATCATTGTCAGAAGCAAGGGTGGGAGGTACAGCGAACATTAACATTGTAAGAATGGGATGCTTGGAACTCGAGCTTAGCTGATCTCCAGGAGGAAGAGAACAAAAGGGAAGAGCACTGGGGAAGACAGGGCATAGTAGATCCTGGTGATGAGGCGCCCATACTTAGAACTAACTGCTTGCATCTTGGTAAGCCTGGGCATGTACCCACCCTTACAGAGTCTCTGTTTCCTCATTTGTAAAGTAGAGGTCACTTTGATACCTGTTCATAGGGTTGGGTGAGGAATTCAATGAGAAACTGGTAAGATGTCTGCACTTTGCTTGGTGTACAGTACATGCTCTGTAAGTAGGACCTGTGTCATCAACCTTGTCATTAGGGTACTGAAGCCTGGCTTTCTCCTTGAGGCTCTCCTAAGTTGGAGGGAACCCTTGGGCTTTTCTTGTGATATTTTATCTCCCATCAATGGTCTTCTCTCCAGCTCCACAGTGCCCTGGGCCATGAGTGAGCTGAAGGACTGCCCCTTGCAGTTCCACGACTTCAAGTCTGTGGACCACCTGAAAGTTTGTCCACGGTACACGGCGGTGCTGGCCCGCTCTGAGGATGACGGCATCGGCATCGAGGAGCTGGACACTCTTCAGCTGGAGCTTGAGACCCTGCTTTCCTCTGCCAGCCGGCGCCTGCGAGTTTTGGAGGCTGAAACCCAGGTGATACCCTACAGAGAGGACATCACCAGGGATGGACTGTGATAAGTTTGGGTGGGTCATTGAGTTAGCCCCATCTGCTAAGGCCTGTGGTACAGGAGGCTAGAGGGGCAGAGAGAGGCCCAAATTGGGGTTTGTGTAATGTGCAGGAATGTGCATCATCCTCATAAATTGCAAGATTTCTAATTCACTAAGCATTTATTGACACACCCCCTCAATTATATTGTGGGCACTGTACAGATCATTAGAGAGAGGTAATTAGGAAAATTCTGGCTTTTAGGGAGTTTGCCAACTATAAGGAGGTGGAGGTCAGACGAGTACCAGGTGATATGTTATGATTAGGGGCAATAGGAGAATTCTAGTGTGGAGATCTGCTTTTGAATCTTGGCCTAAGCATTTGTTAGTGTTGTTGTTTCCTAGCTGTGTGACTTTGGGAAAGTTACATTCTATTTTTGAGTATCAGTTCCCTATCTGCAAACTGGGCTGAAAAATGGACCTACTTCAGAAGTTTTGTGAGGATTAAGAGAGATTTTTTTTGCGAAGGCTCAGCCCCATGTCTGATAGTAAGTCAGCATTTCAAATGTTAATTATTGGTACTACTCTGATTATTTCTATTCATTGCATAAACATCCCCTGAGGGCTGCGTGCCAGGTGCTATGCCATATCCTGGGGAACAGAGCTGATTAAGATGAGCTTCTTGGTCTCCACCAAGTATGCTATTCCTTTTAGTGTGGCCATATAACACAACTGGGCCTACAGCGTAGGTGCAGAGTACCAGAAACTTTAGAGGAAGAAGATGCCATTTCCACTGGACCTCGAAGGATAGATAAAGTCAACTTGTGGGCCCTGGGAATTCACTGAAGCTTTTGAGGTGGGGCTGTTACACAGTCTAGTGCTTATAGTAGCTAAGAAGCTGGTAACTGATGCAGAGGAGACCTCCCAGTGAAGTTTTGCTGGGAGACTCTTGCTTGCCTTCACCAGAAAGTTAACCACCTGTATATTTTCCCAGAGTTAGCATGTACTAGGGTCATTTGTGTGGCCTTCGTACTAAATTCTACAGAGGTGAATTAAAATACAGACAAAGAATGGAATGGTGAGAATTATATGAATAAAATCCTGTGAGATGGGCACAGAAAAGGAGCTGAGTTTGAAGGAGTAGGAGTTTGGTAAATAAAAAGGGAATTGGGAAAGACCTCGATGCCTCCTCAAGATCTGGATCCTAATTCTTCACTGGGGAAAGAGTTGCCTTGTGTCTTCCCTTCTCCCCCTCAGTGACAGTCTCTGAATTTCAGATCCTCACTGACTGGCAGGATAAGAAAGGTGACCGACGATTCCTGAAGCTGGGTCGAGACCATGAGCTTGGAGCTCCCCCCAAACATGGGAAGCCCAAGAAGCAAAAACTGGAAGGGAAGGCAGGACACGGACCAGGCCCCGGTCCCGGGCGTCCTAAATCCAAAAACCTTCAGCCCAAGATCCAGGAATATGAGTTCACTGATGACCCCATTGATGTGCCGCGGATCCCCAAGAATGATGCCCCCAACAGGTTCTGGGCCAGAGAACATAGAGGGGCTTTGGGATTTGGGAAGTAGAGACTGTGGAGGTGCCCTGGGCTAAGGCTGGTGGGGCATGGGGTGCCCACTTAGGGTCTGCTTCTCTCTGCAGGTTCTGGGCTTCAGTGGAGCCCTACTGTGCTGATATCACCAGTGAGGAGGTGCGCACACTAGAGGAGCTGCTGAAACCCCCAGAAGATGAGGCTGAACATTACAAGGTAGAAACGCTGAGCCTTAGCAGACATGGTGGAGAACAAGAGGACTTGGAGGTGCCTCAGAATCAAAGATCCTAAAGTCATGTGTCATCTTCCTTCCCCTACCCTACCTAGTCTCCTGTCTGCCCCATTAACCCACCCAACACCCAGTCGCTCAGTTTTCCTCTTGCATAATCTCCCTTCTACCCCATCCAAATGGTTACCATGTTCTAAGACACCGACTTCAGTGAGGCTGTTTGTTGTCGACATATCTCCATCCCCTGTGCTTTGGTTCAAAGCTTCTATCAGCTTCTCCCCAAACAGTCTCTTATTACTTCCTGTCCCCAGAGGGGCTTTTCTTTCTTTAATATGTAAAAGTTTTTTTTTTAAATGATGAAAATAAAACAGGTTCCATTAAAGAAAGTGTAGGAAATAGAGCAAAGTATTGGGGGAAGCTCTCTCATAGGTCCACTGTCAGGTGTGACACAGCCCTGCTCTTGGGCTTCTTCTGGCTTCCATCACCCACAGGATCGAGTCCAGGTGTCCCTGTCCTTGGCGACACTGCCCAGTGCCCCTCTCCAGTTTCCTTGGCCATGCCATCTCTTCACTGCTACATTCACCAGCCCTACCACGCACCTTGCCCTCATGGCAGGCCGACCCTGGGTCCCTGCTCGCTCTGGGCCTCCTCCTGTGCTCTTCTCCCCTTGGCAGACTGACTGACCCGTCAAACCCCGATCTCATGTTACCTCCACCAAAATGCCTTTGCAGATTCCCCAGAAGGAAGTTGGTCTCATTTTGGGCTGCCGCAAGACCTTGATCTACCTCTGACACTTACTTGAGTTTTAAAAATTTTACTTGAAAAAGTAATCCCTTTGGCAGTAATAAATTCAAGCAATTACAAAAGTCAATTTCTTCTCCTCTAGAGACAATGTCTCTAGAGTCAAGAGCTGTGACCTGAGATGCGCCATATAACACGTACCATTCTGTAACTTGTATCTTGGAAATTGCTCCATATTGGCTTCTGTGAATGCTTTAGTTACTTGTGTACCCATCTCCCTTACTACACTGAGTGTAGAGATTTTATTTTCTTTGTACCTTCTCACCTACACTGGGCACGGGCCTCCACCCTGAGCTAGGTACTTGGGAGGCAGAGGAGGGAGGGAGGAAGGGCCCGTACTTACCCCTTTGAGCCTGTGGGATCTCTTCTACAGATCCCGCCTCTGGGAAAGCACTACTCCCAGCGCTGGGCACAGGAGGACCTGCTGGAGGAGCAGAAGGACGGAGCCCGGGCAGCAGCTGTGGCTGACAAAAAGAAAGGCCTTATGGGGCCACTGACTGAACTGGACACTAAAGGTAAGCCCCTCACCTCATTGCCTACCCCAGGCCAGGACTTGAGTCCCCAGACTTCAGCCCAATTGCCTACCCTTTCTCTGCCTGCTTCAGACGTGGATGCCCTGCTGAAGAAATCCGAGGCCCAGCATGAGCAGCCGGAAGATGGGTGCCCGTTTGGTGCCCTGACTCAGCGCCTCCTACAGGCCTTGGTGGAGGTGAGCAC